ATTTAAGGTAAGACCATTTAGCCTAGATCACTGGTTGATATCCGACAAAAAGCCATTCAATTTGGAACAGGAAGAGTGGGAACTAATGTGCAACGAGTTAGTCAGTTCATCAACATATTGAACAAACTTATTTTCGTTCGAAAGAGGCAAGTCAAGTAAGAAGACTAAGAAAAGAAGCGGAGAGAGAATGGCACCGGCTCCAGTAAGCGAGTCAAAGGAGGGTTTGTTTTATATACAGTATAGTGTATTCCGTTAGAGAAATAAGAATGCAGCAAATAATCAGCCCAGGACTAGGTTTATTTCAAGGAAAGTTTATTTAACAAAAGATAGCTGGGTACAGATTCAAAAGCAAATGTATAATCCAGAGACACACATCGAAAATATTTAGTTCCTTTACCTAAAGAGACTTATTAAATAATGAAATAATAATCACATGGAAAAAGGTCAGATACCAGGTTAACAAAATAAACAATACCAATACAAGTGAACAAGCAGATGAGCAAATTCCAGGAGACAACTAGTTACGTTCATGTTCATCAGGAGACGGTTATTTCATTCATGGAGGATTGCAAAATTTTAATCCCGCTTGAAGTCAAACTTGAAGATGTTACCTAGAAAGACAATGGGAGCTTTATACCTAAACAATTAGCTGAGGCAGCCTAACCTCACCAAAATCATCCACCTGAGCTACAAATCTCCTTCATCAAATCTGTTATGAAGCCATTCCAACGGCTTACATTTTCTCTACAATTTAGTAACACCTATACTTCTTGATTCCAGATAAAGTCTTAACATTTTTACCAGAGATTTCGGATTACGTATTAGTGTAGCTGTAGGGGACGAGAGACTTGGTAACGGAATGTTTATTTGGATTTTGGTATCTCTATAAAGTGAAATTATGTACACTTAATCTGAAAGTTGGCGTGCGCAAAGCTCTTCCATGTGGTGCTACTTCTACCCTTCGTATTGTGTTCTTTTGTGTCGCCTATGATTTGCTGGAACGGTGGTTCATTTACTCTCTTTGACGTACAATCTATCTCTCCGCCATTTGATATTTTTATGCGGATGAACGTCTCTCTACATACTACTGATAAAACTTATCAGTAGCATGCACCACACTAGTACAAAGAAGAATAAATGGAGTGGATTATTCTCACCACCGTTGAAACAATAATTTCATATAAATACAACATCATTCGATCATTTGAAGGCGGTAAATCCCACTGTCTTTCGATTCATACCAGTAACTATCATCTAAATCATGATTGTGCAATTTTCGGTTATCCCTCGAAATTCTACTACTTCTTATTCTTCTTGAAAATATTGACAGAGGTCTACGTTGAATTCTAACCTTAGTTTTGTTATGATTTCATATAAATATATATATATATATCTTGTACTGCACGAATTATTATTTACAAAAGCATATTATTGATTACAATTAGTCTCGACGACGTCTAGTAACCTGGAGTAAGAATAAACAGAAATTAGCAAAAGCCAAGTATCTCCATATATATATATATTTATATTTATATACTCTAAGTGAATTTGAAAAAAGCAATAACAATAGACATAACCTTGGATGGGTTGTAAACGTTTTCGCTAGTTGTTGTTTTTTTCAAATAGGAATCTTCGTCTAAGTCTCACAAGACTCGATATTTGACTATATTTTTAACAAAAACGACACAAACCCATAAAGTGATTAGATAAATGTTAAACATGGCTACTGAAAAATGTACAGTAGGCTAGTTATTGCAACATAACTGTTACAACTTTTTAACGACCTACCTGTTCAACTGATAAAAACTAAAGTATGTTCATAGCTCCATTCGAAGATATCTAATCGATAGAGGTTATACATCAGATACGAAGTTCATCTTATCACCTATTCATATGATACCTCATTGCTCACTATTTTCACTGTAAATTCATCTATACATCTTTGCATGGCAGAAGGGATTGTGTATTGTATATGTGAAAACAAAGTTCTGTATGTGTGTGTATAGGCATGCCAATGCATCCACATATTCTGCCAAGACTCTTAGGTAACCTGGGTTCTAAAAGGTTTTCAATTTAGCCTGATCTAGTTATCTGTTTAAAATTAAAAGTAATGTGTTTTCGTCTGGATATCGAATCGCATTACAGTATTCTTAAAATATCACTGACTGTTTCGACTTATTGTAAAATTGTTGATCTTAATTTCTTATTAGCTATTCCTACGATAAAACACAAAAACTCGTTCTCTGTCCTTTCAGTGTGCATACTTCAGCATGTCTCACTGAACTGAAATGCGTGCTTGAAGGAGTGAGGTTAGCTACCTCACTCCGTAAGAACAAAACAACACCACTACTATCGAAATATCACCTAAAATTGAAGACCCACTCCCACCAAATTCAAGATGATGTTACAGGACTGGAATACACTGACTCCTAGTTTAGAAATAGGGAGTGAAGTGGTAGAGCACGTTGACCACTTCACTTATTTGGGAAGTACCGTCAGCCCCAACGGGTTGATCTCTAACGAAATCTCAGAACGGATACAGAGGGCTAGTTTCGCATTTGCCAGTTTACGCCGACTCTGGCGTAGACGAGATATTTGACTGTCGACCAAAGGGCGGGTGTACTGCTCATCAGTCCGCTCCGTCCTCCTTTATGGCTGCGAGACCTGGCCACTAAGAGTATAAGACATGAAAGGATTAACTGTCTTTGATCATAGGTGCCTGCGCTCTATTTCCCGTGTAAAGTGGCATAATAAAGTGAGCAATATTGAGATTTGGCGTCGAGTTCCAGGTAAGGAGGGGAGATCTATCGACGGAGTCGTGAAGTTACATCGACTGAGATGGTTAGGACATGTGTTACGTATGCCTAGTCATCGCCTTCCTCGACGAGCAATGTTAGCGGATATAGGGTCAGGCTAGAAAAAAGCTAGCGGCAGTCAAACCAAAACATAGCCTCACCAGTCAATGAAATCTACAACAGTTAGTTTAAGCCTACCACGTAGGAAGGTGTGGACTTTCTGACTGGTTGGGGTCTTCGGGGCGGTAAAAACCAATGGTTGTAAACAATTGGTGATATGGCTCAAAATCGTTCTCAATGGCGCAGATGCATCCATTCCTTGTGACTTATGATTTCCAATGAAACTGTAGTGTTCTTCGTTATTACTCTTCCTTTGTCTCACATCTCTGCTTACTGTTTCTATTATGCATTTCTTCTCTTGCTTTGTGTGCTACATGGAGTGTAGCGACTTGAACTGCCGCACATCGGTGCAAAGTTCTATGTCGAAAACAGACAGACCTGTGTCCTATTTGGAACGAAAAGGAATAAAAAAAATACAAGTATGATTTTCTAATTTGCTTTAGTTTTCGAAGCCTATCATTTATGTACACGTGTGTGTTTGTGTTTAGAGGTCAATCAGTATCTTAAGGTGGAATTTATACGACTTATTCAGATTTGTTTCTAAGGCTAGTTTAGTTAAAATTCTTATTCAGTGTATGCATAAAACTCACGAGGTTTTCTTAAATGTATTAATTTGGAGAAAGCGTACAGAGATAACATTTCAATATTTAGGGAGTCGATTTTCGGTCAATGGGTCCCGGGCACGAGTCCCACTCCAACTACTTCAGCGTCGACAAATGAAAAACATCATCAGCCCTCACAAAATACATGTGATTTTTAGCATAGTATATAAGAAATTTGGTATGGATAAATTAATTTTAACACTCTGACTAATCTTCAAATACTCAAAGTTCCTCCATCTAGGACAATCCAGTCATATTGTCCATACTGCTAACGTTTTGCGAAGGGTCTCTATGGTATCCTACCGTTTCGTCTGATTAATTATTGGTGAATATGAGAACATACGAATTATCGGTGTGTTTTCACGAGAATCGTAACTAGGAAAATGCAGGCACATTCGGCTGACGAGTCCCAAATAGGACGAAATGCGTATCCTGGATTCCCCTGCTAGTCACCATCCGCCAATTAAAATGGTAACTGTGATTTAACATAAATATCATATCACTGTAGGTTCTTTTAATCTATACTGGTATGAAACGGAAACATTTTATTTTGCTTTAGTTGTGTTCTCTCAGCTGGCCGATTTAATTGCGGAGCTTTTGTTGTCATTTCAGACAAAATCTTCGGCGCATTTTTTAGTATAAAATGAACTTATGTTTGAATTCTCCATGAACTATATTTATTTGTATGTCCGGACAACCACTGTCATGACTAGTTGTTAATTTTCGTCTCTATTGTTAATTTTTTATTGACTTGGAATTTGAACTTCCTTGTCATGTGATTTACTTTTTATTAGTTGGTAAATTTGTTTCATACATTTGAGTACTAGGCTTCTAGAAATACCCTGACTGCATTTTTGGTGTTTCCTATATCTAATGTATCTACATTATCTCAATCAAATTCGTGTTCATAATTATCTACATGTATCGATACAAAAGAGAATACATATCGTGTCTTTTCACAGATAGTTTACGTTCTTGAATTCTGAGTCGATGTAATGTTTTTTGCAGTTCATACAGTTTATTTTTTAAATGGTGTTAATTCTATCTTCTTTTTCTGTTGGATCTTTCGGTCTACACAATATCGAATAAAGTGATTGTTCTGGCTGGCTTGTATAGCTATATCTAATTCAAACGGTCTTAATATTCTAGCCGTTATATTTCAGAGATGTATCGCAGAATGAATTTTCTTGGAGTCTTTAACGATGGTTTCTTGTTGTATCTAAGCGTACAACACATCAGATTCACTATGATAGGTCTTGAAAATACTGACGACGAGGCATTTTGTATGCATTATCTAACACCCTTCTGGTTGCTGACATCAACACTGACTGATGCTAACATGAATCTCAGAGAAGGAGGTTGAGAATACACTTTCTTGAACAGTCTGCTCAACGCTTTATCCAGATGAACTCTCCTGAAGTCTACTGATCGAGAAAACCTCACCGATAATAAACACATTAGGGAAAAAGAGAAAATAAAATTTGAACTTCCAACAAAATTATTTCTTTTTTTTATATACTTTTTTCGATTTTACCGCGAACAATCGGTTTAATTTTATTCATTTATCCATCATTGTGCTTTCTCGCTTCAGAAAGACGTACAGTGAAATCAAGAAATGAACTGAAAGATATAAGATAGGGGTAAAAAAGTGTCGGATTTGGCGGTGAATTCAGTTGTAACAAGCGATAATTACCGGTCACGATAACCAGCAGCAAATTCACTGAGATTAAAACTAAATGTATCATTTTTTGAGGAAATAATAACAATAATAATCAAATGTAAAAAGATCAGCCAGTACATAAAACATATGTATGAAGTTGGGGAATACTATCAAAAAAAAAGAAAGACACAAAACGACAAAGGTTCGAAAAAACGGTCAACAATCCGATCTATAACGGAGAGACAAGAGGAAACATTGACAAGAAAGACAGGGAACAAGAACCAGGCAACTTGGCTGAGAGGAGAAAGATCAAGGGAATTATGCAGCAAAATAAGCCAACTACTATTCATAATATAAAGTTAGTTATCTTCTAAAGGTGTAGTAAATTAGGCTTTAAAGTAGTGGTTATTTACAATCGAACATACACACACACACAGAGCAGCAAAAACCTGTTTGTGAAAATAGGCAACCAAAAACAGGGAAAATCTCACTTGGTTCATAGAAAATATGAAGAAAGAATTGTTTAAAACAGAAATGGAGATTCACCAGTGAGGTATTCACACTCGACAATTTACTCACTGTTTCAGTTAGTTAACGAGTAGCTCTCACAGATGGTATGTGTATCAAAGGCATCGTTGCTGAAATTGATGTATTACTTGATGTGCATGAATATGTGTATTTGTTATATTTTTTAAATCTCTCAACAGCATATCTATTAATCATGGTAGAATGTGTTAAGAATCAGCGGTTTAAAGTTATTGTCACTGAGAGGCACTCAAAAATAATTAGACTTGATGCATTTCTTTCAGCAAACAAATGCTTATTTCTCTCATCATTACGCAACATATGAGTGTGTGTGTAAATAAAAACAAGCAAGCAAACAAACAAACAAAAAGGACTGATGTATACAAATAAGGCAATAAAAATATTTTTTTCTCATTCTATTCTTTCTTCTTGCCGTCTTTATACAAAGAAGGTAGACACTGCGGTGACAGTGTGTTATTCTCCATTTGAAAAGTACCATCAAGACATCCGTCATACCATGTTATCATCCATTTTCATGTGTTTTGGTAATTTGACATAAGACAGAAGGTGTGTTGTCCAATGTCGAACAGGTTTTCGAATATGGATAAGTTTGCGCAACTCAGACACAAAGAAGACAGATGATGTTAAACAAACCAACATGCCTAGATCTGTATGTAAGATAGAGGGTAAATAATGTTATAGTCATATGCTTACGGTATAAAACAGTTATTTGTTTAATAAAATGAATACTACTTACTATGTTACTACTACTACTACTACCACTACCACAACCATCAGCTAGACGTGTTCTACAAAAGAGACTGCTGTTATGCAGCTGCTGAAATCGATATATATATATATATATATATATATATATCACTAAACTAGAGTATCACTTGGTTCAGTATAATTGTCAATGATGATATCGAACCATATGTGATTGCCACAAGTCATAAAAAGTTACCTTTATTACCTTTAAAAAATATGCATTCACATTAGGTCAGGGTCACACAAATATGCGATATTGCAGGTAGCCTGTTTGAATGAGCTAACTAAGGCATAGAAGAAAATGAAACTAGTACTGTGGTGATAGCTGACTGCCAGCCAAAATTGGTAGACAGTAATTTACGTCAATGTTTATGTCCCGAATACTGGTCATGAGAAAAGAACAAGAACAAAAACTGACTCAACAACCAGTCACAGCAGACTTTGCGTAGGCGGATACAATTATCAGATAGATGATCTGACCTTCAAGGAACGGTCACAAAGAGGTGAAAGATTAACTTTCAGTGAGAAACAACCAATCAGAAGACTGTGTTTGCCTGCTAACAATAATCTATAATAATGTACATGAAAATCTATAAATATCTGTTAATTTCCCTAATAAACGATCTGTTTCCTGGCCCTTGTCTTCTTTTGTTACAGTACTAAGAGTGTAATTTAATGTTAGTTGTCAAAAAACCACTATCTGGACCTAAGTAAACTGTCCTTATCATCTTTGTCTATTCATTTTTTCCTTCATGGATAATAAAGGTATTCAGAATGAAATTCTGATCTGGTATAGACATGTTTCCACCTAGTCGTTCTCATCAATAAATAGGGCGTTATGTAATTTCCAGAAGAGAAAACTTTGTCCTTATCCTTTTCATCAATTCCACAAAAAGTCCTTAACTATGAGTAATTAACACATTGCCAAATAACATTGTGTTTCTGACCAATATTTTGCTATGTACAAGAAGACTTTCTTTCACTCCGATTTTTATAGTAATTCAGGTAACTAGTCAAAGGAAGAGTACATAAAGGCAGACGGCATGCATAAACAACACATTGAAAGTACACTGAAACTAACTTCATACTGGTCACTATTCACAACAATAATAATCTCAATCGATTATGAGGAAAATACAAGTCACAACGAAATTATTTACTCTGATTTTGACATATACTTACCCTTTAATGTTAAGGCTTCAGTTTGAAAGACAGCTTGTAAAGGTGGAAAATAGATTACTAATAACTGACCAAATAGTGATAAGCCGACTGCTAGTACAAACACACGATTTGTTAGAAATCCCAACGAGAAAATCGACTTGCTCTAAAAATAAAAGGAATGAATAAATAAATACCAAGATCAATAACAAACTGTATCTACAAGTATTAAACAAACAGATTTGGGAATGAACATTTTGTGTTTGTAAGCATAACACAAGTGGTAGACAATTTTTTTAAATATCCCCTCGACTTTTCTCATCTAAAGGTAGATTTACTCTTAAACAGGTGTGGTTTTTGGAGTTGTGTCCATAAGAAGACCTTATCTCCGGTGAAAAATCATCATAAGGTAAGTCAGGATATACAATCTTCGGGACTGACCTTCTCCAACCATCCCGCTTGCATAAATGAGGTAGCATGGCTAGCTTACCGATGCGAATACATTACTGCAGTTACACGCCTATTCGCCAGTAGTACAACTTCGTCCTTAGACTCTCAACATAGTATAAGCAATTCATTCAGAGTATGATAGTAACTGCTTTTTTAATCTAACCGCTATTCAAGCGACCTTCCCGGTACGGTACGGTACGGGACAACATGCAGGGACATTTGTTGAGGTTAGTGTAACTCGCTTGATCATTACGATGTACACGCCTGACTACTGTGTCAAAGTAGTAACTAACGATCGGTGAGTTCAAAGTTAACCACTGACTTCTTGCTTCAGTTAAATAGGAGAAATAAAGTTGACCTTTTATATATACATAAGGTTGTGTCTACAACTACTGTTTAAGGCGAATCACCAATTTCTGTCCATTCGAAACCCCAGTAAATGAAGCAGGAATGAATAACAGCTAAGCATTGAAGTCAACCGCATGTTCTTCTCATGAAACTATTTTCATGCTTTTGAACTGATCAAACTTTTAAGGTGTTCACAATCACAGACCAAGCTATAGGAAGGAAGTTAAAGACACCTGTGGTTGTATCGCAAGAATATACTGAACAAATGAAATTACTAGGAGGAAAACGCAAAAGTACTAGTAAGGTGGCTTCATTCCTATGAGACGAACTGATGCATCAAAGTCTGGTGTAACAATGTCACACACTTCAATAAATAACTGCCTAGTTTGTCAAGAATGACTTGATTTCAAGGCTCACCATCAACTTTGCCAGAGATTAAAAAATAATTAGGACTAGAGAATACTCAACGGTTATTTTATCCATGTTTAGAACTGCTAACTATGTCTATACAAGATCAGTGAATAAGATATTTGCGATTCTATCGGTTTTCTAGACAAATTTGAGAGATAAACGCTTAGTTTTGCGTGATCTGGCATGCATACATACCCTTATGATGTAGGGTGCAAAGAAACCTCCTTAAAAAAGATCCCAGAGAAATCGGTCACGTATAATTGAAGTGGTGTGACATACGCAATGTATTATGAAGTAAATGCTTGGGCGCCCAAAGACTGCAACTAGAATAATGATTGACCTTGATTGGTGACTGTTATAATGCCTTTTAAACATACAACAATTTTAACAAGTTAACGGATAAGTTGCGTTTCTCACTTCCATTGGTGAATTAAGAAAGGTAGCCTACAGAATGCTATGAATATGAGGCTGTTGATTATTAACTATACAAACTAAAGTAAATAGTTATTAACCGGCCCAGATAGTTCACGGTTAGCTAATGCAGTCCAGTGACAGAGAATAAAAACAGACAAACTATAATCAGCCTTCAGTAATTTTTAACGGACTTTAGGTTAGCTTATTTACGAGTGTTACTTCAGGCAATGATTGCTCAATACATCATCCAAACAAAGCATAAAACTTACCTGTGATCGAAAACTCAATGCGTTGAACATATCAAAAAGTACAAAGCATGTAAATGTCATGGTTGTGTCGTGTGGTGTAACTTTCCCATCAGATAATTCTCTATAAAATATCCATAATGTACCAGCGACAATGAGAGATGAGGCTGTCAGAACATTGAACATTAAACGGCCATCCAAAATAGAGTCTTTAGCCCGTCTGGGAGGTTGTCTGACCACCTTAAATGGAAAAAAAATGAATACAAAACTTTCGTATTCAACCATGCGAATTAAGTGGGAAGAATAAATATGACAGAGGAAATATAACTTCAGTCAGAAGAAGGTATAAGTTGAGGTTCGATTTTCAAAATGATCAGTAGTAAACTATAAATCAATCCCTTTCTCAATAAGACTGATCAAGAATGTCTAAGAAGTTCTGACTACTAGGAACAAAAAGGCCTAACATATTGACAGGGTTACGAAGTTGAATTGTGGCATGAATTAATGTTTATTTTAACATTCTATAGAGAAATCAACAGAACAGGATGTTAGCCGACCAGGTACTACCACCACCACCACCTATGCTTAAATACATAATAATCATCGTATTATTCAAGTCTTTGAGTTCCAAGCGGAACACAGGGTCCCAGCGGTGCGTCTTCATTTTACTCGGATCTCTGCTATTACCTTACAATGCGTTTCACGACTGCTCATAAACTTTTATGAGCACACCTCTAACTTTGCAAATACTTTGAACAAACTGAAATTCTGCTATTTTTTGTTCAGTAAATTAAATATTCGCATAGTGTAGTCAGAACAAGATGACTTTTGAGCAAACAATTGTTTTCGACAACTTCAGTTATAAATCTATGAATAATAGAACACAAATAGACAGTAAAGGTAAATGAAAATTACATAAAGAACTGTATGGTTTTTTGATCGACAAATTTTTCAAGTCAATGGACCGTTGCTTAAATTTTACAAAATTTTCTACAATTTACTCAGTTGCCAGTAATTTCGTCTTCAAAAGCCGATACTATTGTAAAACGTGAGTGATAGGAAGAATCTTGATAATTTCCAAACTGAGGTTTATGTGATAAAAGACTGAAGAAGGAAGGATGGTAAGTTGTCTTAGACAACAGTCTAACCGGTCTGCAAACAGTATCAGTTAGATGTTAAACAGATTTCATAGCTCTAATGACCCAATAGCCCACTGGATAAAGCCAGAAGTTCGAAAAGATAGGTGCAGGGTCTAAGCCTCAGTGGGAACACCAACACTCAATGAGAATGCTGGGACATTCGACTAATAAGTTCCAGATAGGATGAAACGTGCATCCTTGATTATTATTATTATTACTATATCCTTTAGTTCCTAGAGGAACATAGGGCTTCAGCTGCGCACCTCCATGAGTGCACCTCCATTGCCTTCTGTTTTCTGACAACTTTTTCACCTCGCTCCACGTCTGCCCACATGCTTTCATCTCCTCCTCACATGACCTCCTCCAAGTCACCCTTGGACGACCAACTCGCCTTTCCCCTTTTGGGTTCCACTCGAGGGCTTGTCTAGTGATGTCGCTTGATGGTTTCTCAGGGTGTGACCAATCCATCTCCATTTCTTCCTGCCTATTTGTTTCACAATCGGTTCCTGGTTGGTTCGCTCTCAGAGATTTTTGTTGCTGATCTTTTCTGGCCATCTGATCTTGAGTATTGAGCGAAGACAACTGTCAGTGAAGGTCTGAAGTTTGTTTGAGATGCTCCTTATGACTCGCCAAGTCTCTGATCCGTATAGAAGCACTGATTTTACATTGGAGTTGATACCCCTGCTAATCCCACAGCTAATCAATTACCATCATAGAAAACGAAACAGCTTAATAGACACTGTTAGAAAGTGAAGAACTCATTTCAGAAGACTACAAAAACTGAGGGTGTGCATGTTTGATTTGACACTAGTAACTAGTGTGATGTCTATAGTCCCCTCTTTGCTGCAGACTGAATTCTATCAGTCAGGTTGTAATGTGGCCACCATTCTAGGTAGCTCGCCATCACGGTGCACATTGATTTGATGATATTAGATGGTTGGAGGCAATCGGCAGGAAGCCTTTGACCTAGGTTTCGTGCTAGCTGCACTTGTCAGCAAGGCGTATTTGCAACCTTGAAGAACTCATTTGATTAGCAATAAACTTACTCGGGGAAGTGTGAAGATTACTGACAGTAATAGTAATTCAAACGCTAAACAGGCTAACTATAGATAAACATGTGATCCTATAGTCATTTAAAAGTTCAGTACGGCTTTTTTGTTTTGTGCAATTAACCAAAAGTTCGGTTACAATACAGAATATAGTTATTGAGTGTAAAGTTGTCACGCACCTGATTTGTTGTTACACTATGACCGAATTTATTGTTAATTTACCATAAGTTAACCTATTTGTTTTAGCACATAGAAATCTGCTTTTGCTCGTAAAACGTTCAGCAATAATAACAGTCGACGACTATTATACATAAATTAACAGCAAACTTTAACATTACAATCTAAATATAAAGACTGTTAATTCTAAGCTACATTTAATGGATAAGATATATGACTTCGTTGTGTGATTTTGGTATTGTTATGATCTGTGAACCTGGAATATCTGATTGTGATGGCTTTACTGGCCTTGTCGACATCTTCATCGTTGTCTTCAGTAGATATGTACAAAATGAACTTATTAAGAGATTAATTTTAGTAAGAACTGTCAAATTTAATACAGAGGAACAAAACATTTATATGTAGTTTATTTAATTCAATTTCAGATTTTCCCGTCGATTGATTGGATCGAAGTGGTCGATCTCAGGTTGACATGTTGGCTACTTGTGCAGATGCTTCGACGATGTCTGGGCATGTAATTAGAGGTTAATTGGTGGATGGTGACTAGCTTTGTTGGAAACATTATCAATCACTACGGGATGCAGTTACATCTAGATGACGAGTCCCAAGTGGGATGAAATGCGCATCCTGGATTCTACTGCTAGTCAACATCCACCAATTAACCTCTAATTTATATGTAGTCGTTATAGTAAGCCATTGTATTGTTCAAGCAGGAAAAGTGAGCTAATCTGTAATAATTATAAGTAATAATAATGAACTATTTTGGCTCGATTCTACATGCGCTTATAGTTGATGGTAATTAATTTGATTTTTGATTTACAGCTTGATTCCACACTGTATTTTTGGTACAAGTATGGAATTTTCAGCATGGATATCGGTAGCCCAAATTTTGCAGGCCAACCATAGATATCAGGTGTGCGCCGGCGTGGGCTTGAACCCCGGACCAGGTGCATGGTCGGCAAGAGTCCTAACCACTGTGCCACCGACGCACTAGACTAGACTAGGCCACTAGGATAAGTGAGTGACAATCCAAGATTGTTCCATCGGAATGGTGCAGATCACTGATCACTCTACTGTATAATAAATAGAATAACGCTTCCTGTGAATACCAAAGTAGGATTAGGTTTGTGGGACATCTTTCAATGCACATCACTCGTTGCTAGCATTGATATCAACCTAATTCACTACTACTAAATGGTGTATTTCCTGTGAAACACTGCATTACTTCACGACTGCTGAAAGTAAAACAGAAATCAGAACGATTTTGGACAAATATTTATTTTTATACACAGCACTACAATGGATGTATCCACCTGTTTGACTTACATGTGGGTCTGGTGGTTCTACGCCTAAGCTTTGAGCAGGAGGTCCATCCATAAGTATATTAATAAACAGAATTTGCATTGGATTCAATGGAGTTGGTAGGGAAAATAACGTTGACAGCGCAATCAAACTTAATGCAGCTATAGATCTAAAATAAAAAATATTTAAAAAAAAGGAAAATACAACAGTGATGGATAAAACCTTTTAATTTATGATTTTGGAACAAATGTTTTGCGACTACCATCTCACTTCTACACAAATGAGAAAAAGATCATCACATGTCTCATATTTATTTCCAAGACCAGCTGTAGTTTCCTTTTGGTGATATACATCACCGTGTTTAAAAGTTGAAATACAAAAACCTTCACACCTGAGTACAATAAAATTATTGACAAATAATAATTGCACTCTTAAAGTTGCATACTTAATATTTTCGAAAACAGTCTATTTCTAGGCGATCATGTAGAAATAATCGATTTCTTTTAAAGACAAGAGATGATAGTATTCATGTACTGATACTTAGAATCCTGTATGGGAGGGATATTTTCAGTGGTACGAATATATAACAACATATAACAGTATATAAAAGCCAACAAATGAATGTAATGTAATCGAAATGAAATTCTGTATCGGCGAGAACAAAAACCGTGAACGTATACAACAACTGTGGAAGAAAAGAACACGGGGAAACAGTTAAAAACATGTGACCAGGAGAATATGTTCAATACATTATGTGTTACTGAATTTCAATGAACGACGCCATGGAAAAGAGTAGGACAATGTTAAACAAAACAATGTAGATTACTTATCCAAAGGAAATATTCCAGAATATTCTGAGATATTACAACTTATATTAGATAAAAATTACAATCTGGTAAGTGAGTGCAAGTCGATGAACTAAGTTTTGAACCTACATGAGCGTTTGAAAATTACATAATACTATCCATTTGCTCAAAATGCACCCGATAGAACTCAGTGTTTGTAAATCAAGTATCTAAGCTGATAAATCACATATCTTCACAGGTGAAGGGCACATTCCTGGATGTTAGGAAACAAAGTATGACACAAAGGTGGTATTCATTCAAAAGTAAAAACAGTAATATGGAAGCGATTCACTTTTACGCTAAATGATAAGTACAGTGCAGGAAGAAATATGATCAGAAGGTAAAAGGATGATCTCTATCGACTAACTGTTCTGTTATTGTTTCCATTTCCGAAGGCTTATTTACAGATATAAAAATTAGATGCTCTTAACATGTACTGTTTACAAAAAACATAACCATTGGTAGCAATGGAACATAATGCAGTAAAGTAATATTTCAGGTATGACTACAAAGCAGTAAAGTGACTGCCTTTGACTTTACACTACTACTCTGTGATGTCACTGTCTAATATACCAAATTGACTTGGGACTGACTATCTGTTGGGTAACCTTTACGTATAAAATTAAAGAGGTGGAAAGCAAACCATATAAGGAACTAAATCGATCAAGATAGCCGGAAAGAATGTCATGGAATAGTAAGCCAGAGTGTCTTATTCGCATGAAGTTTCTCAGCCATTGAAAAGAACTTTATGATAGAGTACAAAGTAAGACGAAATCCGAACGAATACTGACTAATCACTGAGGGACTTTGATCACTAGTGTAAACGCTTTCGTTGATAGATTGTATTTCACGACCAGAGTAGAAATCTGGGTGTTAGAGATGAATAAGTTAGTAAGTCTGTTTGGTAAAACTGTGGTGAGAACGGGCAGTTAGCCAAAATTGGTGGACAGTAATTTACGTCAATGCTTATGTCCCCAATATTGGTCGTGAGAAAAATGAGAAGAAAGGCTTTGTGTGGGCGGATACAGTTAACAAACAAATGATCTGTTGCCTGGCCCTTGTCTTCTGTTGTTACAAAACGTCTACATTTAAATGTCAAAGCTCAGAGAACAGCAAACGATCTCCATCCTCATTTTGAGCTAAATAATTCTTACTAGTATTTGATGGATGCATCATCTCTAATAATAAACAGTATTTTGTTCGGAACACTAGAATCCATTGGTTTTCGTAAAGCCTCATCGATTCTCTCAACTGTTGTATAGTGTTTGACTTTTAATTTATCATTTTATTAACAAACTGGTCAAAACAGTGATTAAGTGCATTCTAATGAGGTTGATTACGTGTCACCTTACCTAGTTAGCTGATTGAAACAAGTAAACGTATACTGCAAATAAAAAGACATGATACTTCTTATCTATATCGCAGGAAAGTTACACTATGACTTATTCAACTGCTAGGAGATTAGTCATTTTTTACGATATCAAACAGATCAACAAGCAGGCTAAAGCTTATCACATTAGGAGACTTCTTTAAAGACGATGGGAAAAATTTTTTACCAACAGTGGAAGGTGGGAAAATATGGAGAAAAGTAAGGTCAAATAAATGAAAGTAATGGGGTGTGTATGAATAAGAGGCTCAGAATTTTTGAAAACTTTATTATTTTCATCACTAACACAAATACAAGCTAATGGAAATCGACTACGAACAATACGTCGACTAGCCTACTACTTTTATATAACAGCACTTTATAAAGAAATAAATTTTAGTATTCAACACTGGACAAATGGCGGATGGATTAAAAAGTGATATCACATTGTGATGATCCGTTTGACCACACTCAACAGGCATGTGAGTAACGCGCAAATAAACTTTCATTTACAATAGAAAAGAAAATATGTGAGTAAATTGCATTTAAGATGAAGTATGTTTAGAGGCAGACGGACGAAAAAGACTAAGTCACACAATCAACGCCTAAGTATTCTCAAATATTGGTTTGTAGGGATTTTGTTTGATTGGTTGGAGGATTTCATCATGAGCTGACATCGGTTACAGAGCCAGTGGAAAACCTCGTGGTACTTGTCAGCTGTTTCGAACACCGGAGGGGGTGCGTACTGATGAAGAACCCCAAAATAGGACGAAACATCTGTCCAGTACTCCCAGGTTTTCCAATTGTTCTGTAACCGATGTCAGCTCATGATGAAATCCTTCAACCTAAGTATTCATTGAAAAATGAACATTCAGTTAAATCGGATAACCGATAAGCTAGTACACTTACGTGCTTAATTGAAATCCTATAAAGTTTTTTATATTGTGAAATAATGCTTTGCCTTCTTCCATTGCTGCTAAAATTGTTGCGAAATTATCGTCCAACAAGACTATATCTGAGGCTTCACGACAAACATCTGTTCCCGTTCGCCCCATTGCAATTCCAATATCGGATGACTTCAATGCTATTGCATCGTTTACACCGTCTCCAGTCATTGCTACAACTAAATCACATTGTTGAAAGGCCTAAGTATAATAAAAAAAATTTCGAAACATACTGATCAATAAGGTAATAAGTTCAAGTGGAATTTCAAACAGTAAAAGAAAACACCAAGTATGTTATTCAAATCATTATAAAGCTGTTAAAACAATCCAGTTGAATTTGCATACATACTTTAACAATTTTACACTTATGTTTTGGTCCAGATCGATAGAACACAGTGACATTGCGTACAATCGACTTCAATCGTTCAGCGCTTAATTGTTCTACTTCTTCGCCACTAAGACACAAATCACCAGGTCGATAGAGAGATAATCGTGAGCCTAGAATTTTAAGATTAGTGGAAAGAGAAAGAAAAACAACAACAAGGCAAGTAAGATTCGCTAATCAGAAATAATAAAAAAAAAAATTTATCTTAAAAGATTATAAAAAAAAATAATCAAACCACTGAGCATTACAAAATATAACTTTAGAAATAAACAAAATAAGACCTTTAATTATTACTCTATGGTCTGGAGCACTGAATTTTACAACACATTAAAACACAGGAGAGAAAAAACAGAACAGAAAAAACATTGAATGACGATTTTAGAAGACGTTTTAAAAATCCATAAAACATATAAACAAGATAGTAATATGAAGAAACAAATGAAAAATTATAGAATTTTGAGGAAAACAACGCATAGGTAGGTATGTCGACTCCACTGAGATCGTTTAGCGGCTTAGTGAGTCGCTTAAAAGCGTCTCCAACAGACTGAGAACTCTTATCCACAGCTCCCTTTGCTGGCTACTTATTAAAGATCAGATGGCCAGAAAGGATTAGCAACAATGAACTCTAGAAACGAACCAACTGACAATATACTGCCCTACCAATATACAGGAGGAAATGCAGATAGATTGGCCCGTTGAGTGAAATCACGTGCCGGGGCCTCGAGTAGGACCCGGTTAGGGAAAGATGAGTTTGGCGTCCAATTACCACATGAAAAGATAGTGTGGGATAGGGAATGAAAGCTTATAGGTAACTGTGGAGACAGCTGAAAGTGATAGCAGAGAATTAAGTGGAATGGAGATGCACTGTTGGAGAATGATATTCTACTCGGAATGCAAGGAATGAATAATAACGATAATAAAGTTCAGTGGTTACTGGTCTCATTTGCAGTGCGAATCTTAAATGAGTTTTGCTTCAAAAACTACCCTTCATGAATGCAGAATTCATTCAATGTGAAGCGAACATTTTAGACAAGCTCCAAATGCGATAAAATATTCGATACGTAACTATTCGATATGATCAAATCCACTGGACACTTCGCTTACACTAGTTGAATTGAATAAAATTATTAGAACAGTTAGACTCTTACTATATTCAAGTGTCGACGATAAGCAACAGTTTGTTAAATGGAGTGTTAATAGGTTAAAAAAAAATTTGGCTGGTAGCAAACCAGCAGTCACCTCATCTACAGAAGTCATACATCATCAACATAGATTTATTAATTAAAGGTTATCGTAGATAGTCTCACAGAAAATAAAGAATTCAAGATAAGTATTGTTTTTGATATTTACGTGGCCAAGTGAAGTGTGATATGTTGTGGAGAAATAAACATTGTGATTAATTAGAGTTCTACACGACATTTGAGTAATTACTGAATATAATTTGATTTTCATAGCGAATACAGTAACACCTAGTTGAATCTCTTAAACAAGAAAGGCACTATATAAGGCGTGTTTATCTAGCTTAATTGACACCGATATTTTACGAAAATGACAAAAAATGAACAAAATGCAGTCCAGTACTCATGCGCATATCTTCCTCTAGAGTGGCTTAGAAAGACTTCAAGAAATAAAAAAAGTAGGCACGACCTCGTATCTCAGAAAACAAAAGTCGGAAGACTAAGGCAACATACGATAAAAATATATCAGACAACATAAAAAGTGACACATAATGTCCACCTATTTGGCACACACACATCACTGTCATACAGCGTGAACTGAACCACACAAACGTGCACATAATGTGTTTGTCGTATTCACACCTTAAAGGGATTTCCATAACACTCATAGTCAGTTTATACGTCGTTAAAGCCATTGAACTGTAAAAAACCTTTTCAAAGAAAAGTAAACTTCATAATATAAAAGTAATCGCACTGCTCACCTATTGTGCAGGCGGTTTCTTTAGCATCTCCAGTTATCATAACCACACGTACACCAGATTCACAGAGTATTCTAATGCATGCTTCTACGCCAGGACGTGGTGGATCAATTAAACCAATCAATCCATGAAAAACCATTTGTCCTGAGTGAGTGCCTTTAGCCAACGCTAGTACACGTAAGCCTAAGTTACCAAGTGCAGAGGCTTCATTGCATATTTGTTTTTTAATTTCTGAATTCAATGGCTTTACACAGTTATCGGAATAACGATTTGACATAGGTGAATGATCAGAAGGTGATAGTGGTATTGAAGTTGCAGGATTATTGAAAATTGACGAAAATGTACAACGATTTAGTATTTGATCCACAGCACCTTTGGCGAAATAGACTGCTTCTTCAGATGTCTAGGGCAAAATAAATAAATAAAACCTTGTTGAATAAATTTAACTTCAACGAGGAGTATATTTGAATCGCGAAAAGAAAAATAATTCATAGTTTGTAGATTAAATTGGTCATCATCACAAGCGACACCTGAGGACCATAGTGATAGTTTACGAATGAAGGGTTCACTTAAAGGAAAAAATTTCGTAGAGAATTATCGGTCGATGAGCTACTGAATACCAAGAAGCTAAATTGAGTTGTTGTGCCTTCACTTACTACATGTCAATATGTCTGTCTGTCTGGATTCAACATAGAACTTGGCACCGAAGTGCAGCAGTTCGAGTTGCCACGTTCCAAATAGCACACAGAGGTAGACAAGAAGATGAGTGAAGAGAATCAATAGAGTTTGACAAGTATAAGAGTGAAACAGAATGGGTAATGGTAGAAAGGAATATGAAAGATTACAGAGACTGAATACATCTGCGCCATTGACAACGATTTTGAGCCATGTCACCTATTGTCTCCAGCCATTGATTCCTAGAGTCCCGAGGGCCCCAACCCGGGAGTCTGCATCTCCCTACCTGACTCAGTTTAACTGTCAAGGATTTCATGGATTGATGAGCCATGTTTTTGTTTGGCCACCACTGGCTCTTTTCCAACCTGAACCTATATCAGCTAGCAATGCCCGTCGGGGGAGGCGGTGGTTAGGCATGCGCAGCACGTGACCTAGCCATCTTAGTCTATGTAACTTTATAACCTCGTCGATTGATTTTCCCTCTTTGCCCAACACTCTACGCCTAACGTCAACATTACTTACCTTATTAAACCACCTAACGTGAGACAGAGATCGAAAACATCGAAAATCGAAAGCAGTCAACCTTTTCATGTCTTCAACGCGTATTGGCCATGTTTCAGAGCCATAGAGAAGGACGGAGCGAACTGATGAGCAGTACACACGTCCCTTGGTTGATAACCGGATGTCACGCCTACGCCAGAGATGGTGTAAGTCAGCGAAAGCAGCTCGAGCTTTTCGGATCCGTGCTGAGATTTCATCGCCAATCAGTCCGTTGGTGCTAATACAACTTCCCAAATAGGTGAAGTGGTCAACATGTTCTATCACTTCACTCCCTATCACTAAGTTAGGAGTTGACGTGGTCCAGTCCTGTAGCAGCATCTTACATTTTGCAGGGGCGAATCGCATGCCAAACATACGAAGATTGCTGCTCAAGGTGTTCAGAAGACTCTGCATTTTGTCAGCATCCTCCCCTAACAGGACTATGTCATCTGCATATTCTAAGTCCATAAGATTATTCCCTGGTAACAAGTCGATTCCTAAGTCATTACGTTCAGTTAAGGATACTTCCATTAGCATATCTATGATGAAGTTAAACAGAAATGGGGAAAGTGGACATCCCTGTCGGACACCACTGGTTGTTACCAATTCAGATGACAATTCCCCATAAGCCCTTACACGACTACGTGAGTTTGAATAGAGTGCCTTGATTAGTGCAATGTACTTTCTTGGCACTCCCTTCACAGTCAGACATTGCCATAGTACCTTTCGATCCACGGAGTCGAAGGCCGCCTTCAAGTCAAGAAATATGACAATTGTTGGACGCCGAAAAGTGTGTCTATGTTCTAGAATCTGTCGAAGAGTGAAGATATGATCTATGCACCCTCTACCTGGTCTAAAGCCTGCTTGATTTTCCCTTGTCTGTTCCTCCCGAGTTCTGCTTAGTCTATGCATGATTACTGAGCCTAGGATTTTAGAGACTATGTTCGTTAGGCTGATCCCCCTATGATTATCACACGAGGACTTGTTTCCCTTCTTGAATATCGGTATAATAAGTGACTTACCCCAGTCTGATGGTACTGTCTCTGATTCCCAGACTTTGCCTAGTACCTCAGTTAATCTACAAACTAGTATGTCACCCCCATATTTAAACACCTCCGGAATAATTCCGTCGGGTCCTGCCGCTTTGCCTCGTTTCAAATTACTGATAGCTTTTGTAACCTCACCTACAGACGGCGGACCAGTGTCTATATCCCATTCGGGTGTGTGGTGGATGGCGGGGAGGTTCAGTGTGGCTGTAGGCAAGTTAAATTGTTCCTCAAAGTGTTCTTTCCAGCGTTCAAGGCGTCTATCCTGAGAGCTAATTAAGGAGCCATTTTTCTCAGAAATAGTCTCACTTATGAATTGCCTTCTCCCACCCGATTCTCTGATGAGTCTAAAGAGTTGCCTAGTGTTGCCTATCGCCGATGCTTTTTCCATCTCTTTCGCCTTTGTCACCCACCACTGTTCACGGTCCTTGCGGAGACTTTTAGTAAGTTTCCTTTTGTGCAGCTTTCGCTCCTCATTGAATTCGGAGCTCGCCGGAATAAGTCTTCTAGCATCTATCAGTTCGGATGAGGCAGTCGAAATCCAGTGGTTTTTACTCACCTTTGGATTTGCCTTATTCACAGCTTTTACAGCTGTATCTATAGCTGACTGAATATTCTTCCAGGCTTCTCCAGGGTGAGCACAGCTGTCGAATTCAGATATGCGTTTAGCTAGTTCTTCCTCAAATAGGGATTTAGTTTCCTGATCGAGCTGGGGACGTGATGGTTTTACCGCCAGCTGTTTCCTACGTCCGTTCAGTCGTAAGCACACACGAGCCCGGACCAGTGCGTGATCGGTATCTACACACGTGTTCCAGAAGGAGCGACAATCTCCTACCGACCCACGCCAACGATAGCTTATTGCTATGTGGTCTATTTGTGTCCAGCGTTGGTTTGATGATGGGGGTCGCCAGGTTAAACAGTGTCTCTCCTTGTGTTTAAAGTTAGTGCTTACAAGAAACAAATGATTATCTGAACAGAACTGTAGGAGACGGTCACCGTTGTCGGTTCGCTGGCACGGAACTCCATAGGTGCCACCGACATCCTTCTCAGATTGACACAATTTCCCTACTTGAGCGTTAAAGTCACCAGCTAGAACGACTATATCTGAGCGTTTAGCCTTTCTCACCAAACTAGACAGCTTTTGGTAGAACTCATCCTTCGTTTCATCCGAACTGCAGTCAGTGGGGGCGTAGGCGGAGATTACGAAAAGGCATCGGCGAGTAGTGCAGTCCTTTCTCCTTCTTACTGATCCGTTCAGACGGACAGCACACATTCGGCTATCTACTGGGATCCAGTCAAGCAATGTCTTTTCTGCCCTAGTACTCAAAGCTATCCCTACGCCAGCTAATCCTCGTGAACTAGCTGTGGCATCTCCTGACACCCTCAAGGTGAATTTTGAAGATTCATCCTGTTGGCCAGGTGGGGTTAGGTGAATAACCACACTTGGGTCTTGTATGCGTGTTTCTGAAACACAACATACATCAATGGCTCAGATGCCAGGGTCTTAGCTAGTGATGCTTGTTGTCCTATTTGGCAAAGTGTCCTAACATTAAATGCTCCTATATGAAATTGGTGGCGTGGCTTTAGGAGACTATCCGTGGTGGTTTTTTGGCTTTCGTCGTTTTTAGTGGACACAGAGTGAAGAGGGAGTGAGGAGCCATCAAGTAGAGGAGTTGCATCAGTGGGAGGAAGGCAAGGTAATAGAGATGAAGATAAAGATAAGTGAGGATTAGAGAGGTTTTGTGTGCATTTCGGATTGTGAGGGCGATTGTTACTTCCCGGCTGCCCACACCGTGGAAGTTGGTTGCGTGACCGCAGAGCCCAGGGGACAACTGCTTGAGGCCGGTCACACGCGGCCTGTTTTTGTTTGTTCTTTTTGTTTGGTGTGCCTCAGTAGCATACTTATCACTCCTGCCCTGTGACACGGCAGCAGGAAGCGCGGTCGTTGTTAATCCGGGCCACGGCCGATCCGGCATGAAATTTTGTGAATTTGTTTGGATCATGGTATTGGATTGGGTAGCTGCTTTTTGTTTAACCGCTATCCAAACAACCTGCCTGGCATGGTAGAACCTCAAGAGACATAAGTCTCAGCCAGTATAGCTTGATTAGGTCATTGCGGTGTTCAAGCCCGACCACCACGTCAAGGTAGCAGCTTTCGGTCGGGATGTCAATATGTGTGCATACACGTGTTCCCATATTACCCTATTCAAGATTACGTTTACCAAAAAGTAGTACATCGTCGATTCGACACTAAGAAGTAACTAATGTCGTGCGTCTAGTCTCTCGGTCGACGCGAACCGAATTATATCATCCAAGTTTGTAATGTAGCCACCATGCCATCATGGTGCATTCTGAACTGTTGTTGCAAGCAACTGTTGCTTGACGGAAGACATGCTCCCCCCCCGACCTCCAAATAAATTGTTATATAACGCAAGCATCATCTTCTATATACTAGTATACACCTAATCTCACAAATCACGAGTCCACCAAACAAGAAAACTATGAACCACTATAAAGACAAAAAAGTAAAATTTTTACCAGCAAGATTTACCATAAAGCTTTTAAAAGTAAATGTCAGTGTACTTATTAAAACCACTTAAAATATAGTAATACAGGGTAAGAGAATATTTTCGAAAACAACATGAGCAACAACAACAAATCAATAACATGAGAAATTCAAGCATTGTTGATAATATATAATAGTGATTAGGTGATCAATACAAGCAACTGGATACCGTTCACATAAACCAGTAGCACCTGGTAACCAGATCGTAGTGATTAAAACATCGGCTCGGCTCCAAACAAGGATCGCTCAAACGTGAAACTATGCTTGGTATTGCTTGAAGAAACCTTTTTATTCAGTTCCATAGGTATTCATTAAAAGACTAAGTATCACCACTTAATTCATAAAAATTGGACATCAAACAAATTATTCTCCGTGGGGTCATGGGTGTTCATTGTTCAATAATCCTAATCTAGGACAAAAAAAGCTGTCAAGTGCACCTTGGTTCTCGATGATTCTCTTGTTAATGTCGATTTATTCCAAAATTGCCATCGCAAATAAATTATCTCCAAGGAAATGTTTGTTATGAAAAAGTGAATTTTGCTTTCAAGGATGATGGCATAATAGAATGACTTCTATATCCCAGAAATGCTGAGTTGATAGTGAAAGTTTCATTGTTAAATGCAACAACCGCAATACATTCCACGCCAGTATATATATAATACATGTCACCACCATCCAACATTTATGAGTCACTGCAGGTATGTCTCCAGGACTACGAAGCGGCATTCGTTGAGGTAGTGCTGCAGCAGACTTTCAGGACAGTTGTAATCCATAATTGAGGTTATTACTTCCACTGAAATCAGCAGCGTCGAAATCCCCTGACCGATCGTGAGTAGAGGCAGAACTCAAATGATTCTATCACGGCTTCCAAACACTGAACAACATTATTCCAGTCAGCAACCATCTGAACTACCCCGTCAGTTGGTAAGAGAGTTAACGTCCGATAGACCCTGATAACACGCATCTTTTATTTATCACGGAAATGTTTGATGAGTTTTTCATTCATATCCAGTTACGGAAATGGCTGCGCCAAGAGTCTGACGTCAGTCATATTCTCATCCTCGTCTCAGAATCCTCACTGAGTCTACTACGGCGATGAAGTTTTGAATCTGTAAGCTGGGCTTTCATTATATACCTCGGTTTTGGATAAACAATTCACATGATACTGCAGATACCATGCAGGTCACTATCAATATATATATATATATATAATTCCTACAAATAATTTTCAAGTAATAGAGCATAAGAAACAGACGTAAACAGCGAAGAAAATTTTCTTTTTGACTATTCATAAAACATTGCAAAAAACTTATAACTAAGTTTAAATCAAATACTTTATGATGCATAAGATATGACACTTGAAAAACGTCTTACTGATGACTGATTATTTCGCACACACTTGACCATCATCAGTTTTGATTCTGAACTAAATGGCCATTCCTGTAAGCGAGTGTAATAGGCGCGTTCATCCGGTACATGTAACTAGTGTTCAATTTTTTATTGATGGAAATAAAGAGACAAAAATGGGAAAGAAGGAAATAGTAAATATTATTATTAATTAGTCAAAATATTGCTGATTACAAGTTGATTGTTTCACTGAATAAAAACATCAACCTATCCAAGCAGAATAGGATGTAACGTGCATACCTGCTTCATCCCACATTAAAAAACCATGAAACACAGCAGATTATCCTCAATTCCGTTGTGCGCAGTCAAAAAAAACAATGATTGCAACTTTATAATTGGAGTTTCCAATAATTCTTTCTTTCTTGATAATATTAAGATTCTATAAAGGACAGAGTTTTAGAAAAACAATCTACTCTTATGAAGACGGGAAACCAGTTGTGGATTGAATGATTTATTGGCTAATTTTCCACCTTTAGAACTGTGTGAAACAGCTTAAACCAATGATAGAGGTATGTCTTGTTAATAACAGTCAACTATCAAAAAATCTCAGCTGAGGAATTTCTGTCGACTGACTTTTAGTATTGAAATGTAATAATTTATAGACGTGCAATTGTACTATTAGACAACAATAATAACCATGATACAAAAAAAAACGATGAAGGAGTTATGCTACACTGTCTGGTTTATACAGAGAACTTCGTTGAATCCTGCATTTTTAGTGTTTTCACTTTTTTCTGGCTTGACCTGATTATTACACTGGGAAAGTGTTGTGAGTTGAAGACATTAAACAGCTTTCTTGAGATTGAATGTTGTGAACTCTAGTTACAAATGGTCAGTAGATTGACAGAAATTGTAATGCTGAAGTCATGAGAGGAAAGGCTAATCAATTGAACCTGTAGCCTACTAGCCCAAAAGCAGGAACAACTATCTGGGCATGATCATGAAGTCAGTGAAATAAAAAATGGATTAAAGAGAGATCTAATAACACAGAGGAGAAATTTACTGAGACACTGGGATTCTTTTGTTTACATGACAACTGGTATGAAAGTGAGAAGGCTGACTTGAGATGAAACACAACTGGATTCCGTTTATATGATCTAAAACCCACTTAACAGAAAATACAACTGTTGTAATATTAAACACATAAATTCCATTTACTGCTTCACTAAAATACCGAGTTCGTTAAGTATTAAGGTAATCGAAATGAATATTTTTTTAGACAGTAACAGTAACTACGTGCGTCGGTGGCATAGCGGTTAGGACGCTCGCCGACCATGCACATAGTCCGGGGTTCGATCACTGGCCGATACACTCCTTTACCTCGCTGAGCCAGAAATAATTCTGGTTAAGAGGGAAGGTTGGGCATGAGACTAGCAACCCCATCCTGTGAAATAAACACTGCTACAGAAACTTCAAGCCTTGAGCTTGAAGCCCTATGTTCTACTGGGGAACGTGAAGGAAAAAAAAGTAACTACAGCCCAGCTTTTTTTAAATCAACATACTTGAGAGGCCAGTTTCAAAATTGCACCCTCGGTAGGTTGTCCAAACAACTGGTCACCTCGAATCGTGGCATTGTTACAAAGACAACCAATCTGTAAGAAAATTTTAAAAATATCAAGATGTAAATAAGAAGTATTTTAACATTTGTTAAGCGGCGCATTTTTTTAATTGTTGTAGTGTTTTTTGGGGTCTTCAAGTCCTGGGTTTTTACCGTCAGGATTCAGGTTATGTCACCTTTAGTGCTTCTTTTACCGAAAGGACTGAAATTTATCAGAGCGAAATTTCTGAGCAGGAAACAGATAGCCAATTAAACTGAATGTCAACATCTTACACAACAGATATATAAGCGGAAATTGTTAATGGAAATTCGTACAATACTTTTTTACATCCTGATTATTTTAAGTAAGACTAAACATCCTACGAAAAGAGAGAGAGAGAACAGGAAAATACTATTCGTGATGACTTTATAAATATCATTTGTAAGATCTTATCCGATGAATCCAAGTCCGCCCTTGGATAAACTGTGTATAGCTGAATGTGATACAAACCACCAACAATCCCCTGGATATTGCAATTTGAAAACCGGATGGCTGTTTCCAACTTGGCTAAGAACTTTTTAGCATTATGCAACTACGACCTTATGAAATATGGAAGGTCTTTTACACATCTGAAGTGATGACAAACAGTCACATCTGTGAGGGATGACCACCATCCCCATTTCTGTTTAATTTCATAGTTACTGTACTAATCGCTTTGACCCTAACTGATTTCAGCGATCCAGTGATTGACTTGTTACCAGGGTATAGACTTGTTGACTTAGTATATGATGATGATGACACAGTCCTCTTAGGTGAAGAGTCTTCTGAACTCCTTGAGCAGCAACCTTCGAATGTTTGGTATGTGGTTTGCTCCTGTCAAATGTAAGATGATGCTACAGTACTGAACTACATTAACTTCCAGTTTAAAGATAAGGAGTGAAGTGGTTAAGTGTGTTGGACATTTCACTTATTTGGGAAGTTGTATCAGCCCGAATATACTCATTGCATTTGAAATCTCAGCACGGATACAGAATGTTAGTAAAATGTCAGGTAAAGAAGTAAAGTGAATCAACGAGGTACGTGGATTGAGACGGCTTTGACAACTGTTGCACATGCCAGGCCACTGTCTTGATCGACGATCAATGTTAGCTGTGTTAGGATTATGATGGAAAAGAGTTATATATGGTCAGATGGCTCTTCAAGTTCTGGATTTTCTCCGTCAGCATTCTGACATCAGCCTAATTGTCATCCCCAATCCATGAAGTCTTTGACCGTTTATTCGAGCAGAGTGATGCTGAGAACCAACAGCTTGAGACTATTGGTATTATTATTTTTCCCTTCGGTTCCTAGTGGAACATAGGGCTTCAACTGCACATCTCCACTTGCTCTGCCTTATGCTGTACTCTTCACGTGCATCCATGTTAGTCCATACTGTTTCAACTCCTCAACTCTTCACACGATCTCCTCCATGTCACCCTTGCACCGATGTCCCACTTGCCTCTTCCCTTTCGGGTTCCACTCGAGCAATGGCCTGACACACGCGCGATGTCACCCAGCGGCGGCCTCCTCAACCACGAGTGTCCGATCCATCTCCACTTTCTCCTGCATAATTGTTGGGTGATTGGTTGGCGATTGTTTAGTTTCTTCTCATAGTTTCTTGTTGGTGACTCTTTTCGGCCTTCCCAGCCATCTGATCTTCAGTATAGAGCCAGCGAAGACAGTTGTTGATAAACGTCTGGTCTTCAACAGGCTGTTGGAAATATTCTTTGTGACCCGCCCGCCCGCCAGCCAACTTTCTCATCCGTATAGAACAACTGACTGACTTGACACTGTTTGTATTGAAAATCCGACGGAATTTTGTTGTTGATTCTGGCTGAGTGATGAAGATTTCCTTCCAGATTGGTTTCAGGTTGATGAGTGAATGTGTTTCTCGCTCGCCTTCCCAATTCTCGCTCGATTTGACATCCTCGTCCGTCCCGAGTGTCTGTAGTTGAGACGATGCTCCCTAGATGAGTGAGTGAGTGAATGAAGTAACCTCTTTCAAATCCGTTCCGTTGATGGTGGTTGGCGCTGGATGTTGCTGCTGCTACTGTTGTTGTTGGTTGGTTGGTTGGTTGGTTATTTTCATAACGTCCGTCTTGTCTATGTTCACCTGGAGTCCTGCCTTCGCCGGCTGCTTCTTCGACCAGTTTGTCGGTTTTTGCTTGTAAGTCTTAGATTTTGTGCGAAATCAAACATAAATCATCGCCGTGCGAAATCCAGGTCTTCTAGGTTCTTCACGTCGGTCGGTCCAGGATACCCCTGTCTTCTCGTTTCCCACTCACTGTCTGACGCATAATCCAGTCAGTCCACCACAATTAGGATTATCATTGGTGATAATAAGCACCCTTGTCTGACTCCTGTGTTTACTTCAAACGCCTCTCTGAGTTTTCCGTTGTGGATCACTTGACATATACCGTTGTCGTACAGCTATTGGTAGTATGACTCAAAATCGTTCTCAGTGGCACAGATGCATCAACTCTTTGTAATTTCTTAGATCAGTTAAACTCCCATGCTCTTCCATGTAATTTTTTTTCGTTCCCGAGTACATTTCTACTCATTATATTTGTTTTGAATCTCTGTTTTTCTCTTTTCTTTTTTTTACCTTTGTGCGCTACAGGGAATGTAGTAACTTGAACTGTTTCACTTCTGTGCAAGGTTGTTTGCTGAAACTCAGTCAGTTGTATTATTTGCATTTCGCTTCCAGTACCGACAGCCTCCAATGACTAGTACAAATCTTATTCATAACACTGACTTATTGATATACTTTTTTCCTTATTACAAACGATAGTTCAACTTCTTTCTCATCAAGGATTATGGAGGCGATGCTTAAGGTTACATCTAAAGCAATGTAGATGAAAAAAAGAGTTTGGAAAACAGCAAAAACTATTAAATCATTCATTGTCAGCCAGCTGGGGATGAAATATGTCAAAATCTAGTACAAGTGACATAATTCAAACGTTGAATACTGATCTTAATGGGGGAAATTAGTGGTAGAGTAAATGAAATATTAATCAATTCTTGCATGAAACTGTATCAGGCTGTCTAGACAGCACACTAGAGTAGTTCAACATTAACAATTTATAAACTACAGTCTACAGGAAATAGTAAAAAGTGTACATCAAATCGCAAAACTGTTATAGTATAAGAGATGGCTTACTTGCAAAATACTGTCCAAGGCAGGTGGATAATAATAAGGTGTGCGTAGTTCACCGGATGAAACTGATCTAATATGCGTCGGGATGTGATTACCGATGTTATTTAGCGTCATTTTATCTGACAATAAATTATCATACATTTTAATAGTGCAACTACCATCACCACTATTATCTGTACTCAAACGAACGGAAGGTGTACTGTCACAACTGTATTCTAATGGAACTGTGAATCTTTCTAAGGATCCAGTTACTACATGTGATACTGTCATTTCATTTTTTGTCATAGTTCCTGTCTTGTCTGAACAGACAACATTCACACAACCTGAATAAACAGAATTAAACAAATCATTTAATTCTCGGCAAATTAATTCGAGAAAACAGAGAAAAATATTGATAAACTTTGAGAAAAGAATTTGTGCATCTGATGATAATGTGATAAAAAAAGAATTTTTTAATGCTTTGAAGAACTCTTAACGAAAACTGCCGACCAAAAAAAAAGATATGTGAACACTCATATTCATAAAAACAGCCCAATATTACACTTTCATTCTATACAGGGAAATATACCGGTCAGTAACTTGCACTGCACGTGTGTCACGGAAAGGATTTCCAACGACTTGTTGCAGACTTTCATCAACAGCTGCCTTCGCTGGCTCCATACTGAAGATCAAATGGCCGGTCAGAAAGAATAAGTAACAAGAAACTCTGGCTGGGAACAAACCAACAGGCAAGAGCCGATCGCTCAACAAATATGTAGGAGAAAATGGAGATGGATAGGGCATACATTGAGGAAACCACTGAATGATATGGCGCGCAATGCAGGTCATCGCTCGAAAGGAATCCCAATGAGAAACAGAGAGTGGGTCATCCTAGGATGACATGGAGGAGGTCGTGTTAGCAAGAGATGAGAGATTATGGTCAATCATGGCTCAAGATGAGGAGGACAGCCGAAAATAGAAGAAAGTGGAGATGTGTTGTTGGAGCCTATGTTCCACTTGGAACTCAAGGGAATAATAACAGCATTAGTATTTACTTGATAATTTACAATCCACTAGTAAGGTGTTTCTACTTTTGTCATTGTTTCACAAAACATGATTGTTTTTCAGTGTTGTCACCTGTACTCAACCGTCATTATTTCTGACTTAGACTTTCATATCAAACTTTGCTTATAGAACTACATGAAATCCCTATTCCACTGAATCTTTAGGTTGATAGTCGGAGCGTCTGTCCACTAACTGCAGTGATTTATGACCAAGCTGTATCACAGAACATATAACAATGAAGTTTCTCTTGAGTTTGTCTGTGGAAAATGAGACTGTGAGTACTAATGAGCACATCTGAACTACACATGAGAAAATCCTCCCTAGTATAATCTGATTTTCAGTGACTTTTTAGCTGAAGGTGGACCACAATAAACCCATCTTTACGTTATTTTATCTCTCATAATCTCCACAACCAAGAAACATTAGTTACATCCAATTACAATTTTTAAAAAACTTCCCCCTTTCTTACTTATACTTTTCATATTATACGTCTAAGAATATAATCGCCAGATAGTTTATTCGACCGCTTCCTTAAAGTGAAGTTAGCTGCAAAAACACTAATATCTTGAGGAGAAACATGTAACGAGTGTTAAGGGTAGAGTAGACTAAAAAATCGTAGTCAATCCATTTTCAATCGCTCTAAGGCATTTATTATAGGAAATTAAAATCATAATTTTGACGACTGGATCGTAAATTTCTATTCAAAACAACATGGCCGTGGAGTTACTGTTTGCCGTAACGAAAACCGATGGTGTTCATTAAAGATATCCCCTTTCACCATTACTATTCTCACCTTTGCCATAGGAGTACTGATGTAACTGTGTCAACCTTAACTTCTTTATTGATTTCATTACAAGGAAAGTATTTGAATAACTTAGAATACTAAGAAAATGCATTTTAGCAAAATCGCTAACTAGATCACGATTTTCTAAACGCTATGAACGAAAAATTGAGTGCATTTTGTATATTGATGCTCACTAGTGACTGGCCCTATTCAGGCAGTTAACCTGGGGTTCTAGTGAGAAGCCGTGACAAGTAGGGTACAGCAGGTTAAAGATGAGGCAGTAACTCATCGAAGAAGATATTGCGAAGTGGTAGGGCTATGTCGTGAATTAGCAGAAGTTAGAATTCATGAACTAGACATTAGATCGGTTCCCAGTGGCTTAATGGTCTACGAACTACCTGGCCTTGTAACCAGGAGGTCCTGGGTTTGAACCTTGGCATTGTGTGCGTACTGGTGAAGAGTCCCAAACTAGGCTGACGAAACAGCTGTCCAGTACTCCCAGGTTTTCCAGTGGTCCTCTAACTGATGTCAGCTCATGATGAAATCCTCCATGCAATATTTTGTATATGTTTTAGACTTATTACACACGAAACAATGCTACACAACTAGTCTTCACCTGCTTCTAGTTTTGAAGATAAGAAATTAAACAACTGAATGTGTTGGTGATCTGTGTCAAATGGGCTGGCTGCTGACGAAATTCCTATTACCATCATACACACACATATATATATCGAACAACTGGCTGCAGATGTATATGGATCTTTCCAACTAACATAATTACAGGTGAATAATAGTTTAAGTGATGCGAATGCACTCACTACAAATAAACTCATTCGCAACAAATATTTTCTGTGTTCCAGAGTATGATTTCGCAACATTAGATAATGTTGGATATTGTATGTCACGTACTACTTATGTTGACATTTAAAAAACGAGAAATCCTATTTTATAATTTCAATGTTAAAACATAGATTATAACCAACTGATATTTACCAAGAGTTTCAACTGCCGGTAATCGTCTAACAATAGCATTTCTCGCTGCCATACGCATTTGTCCAATTGCCAAAGTTACAGTTACTACAATAGGAAGACCCTCGGGAATGGCTGCAACTGCCAAGCTGTAAATGGAAGGGAATCACTCGGAAGAATATCTGACCAAAACAGAACCCTTGTAAAAAAGAATATGAAATTTGCAAACAAACAAAACAACCAATAACAACAATTTGTTTGGTAGGATTGAAATGATAACTTCAGACAGTTGAGACTATACTAGCCAATAATAATAAAGATGGCAAATTTTGAAGGTGTCATGAACAGTCTATTCCCAGACATGGAAACATCAAAACTGTTAATGTACTCCAGTTCTTTTGCACGTAGTGAGAAAGCAAATTTGAAAACTGGAAAAAAGTGCAAACATCACTATTGTTTACTGGAAATCTGCAGTCATCCATTAATTTGTAGTACGTCTAAATTGTCTGATTTTGTCAGGACTTTCAAACATGAAACTGCCTATTCTTAAACTCAGGGCATTAAATCCCTGTTACGGATTTTTTATCCGTGTTGCCTAGATAACAAGTAACGTATGCCAACAAACATAATTACCTCTGATCGGATAGTACAACATTAAATTCCAAACAACGTGGGAAAAATATTTTTTTAAATGCTAAGAATTCTATGTTAGGGGCTAATTTTTATTTCTGCTTATTCTACACACTTCATTTTGATGACGATGAATGAATGAGAGTCCTTATGTTGCACAGTTAATTAACTATTTAAAGTTGTACAATAAAATCACTCCAATCCAGAAGAAAGTGCGTCGGTGGCACAGCGGTTAGGACGCTCGCCGACCATGCACATAGTCCGGGGTTCGATCCCCGGACGATGCACTCCTTTACCTCACTAAGCCAGAAATAAAGCTGGTGAAGAAGAAAGGTTGGGCATGAGACTAGCAACTCCATCCCGTAAAAATAAACACTGCTACAGAAACTTGAAGCCCTATGTTTCGCTGGGAACGTGAAGGAATAAAAAAAATCCAGAAGAAAGAGATGTAAGTGACGCTATCCAAATTGTTCTCAAACAGAAATCAAGAAAATATTTCATGATAAGTATCACAGTGTTTCTAAAGGGTTACAGAGTAAGATTACTTGCATACAACTGGAGTAAGATAATGAATGCTCTCTCCTACTTAGATGGAAATATTGTCGAGCATTGTTATATTTAAATCCTTAATACGTATGCATGTAAGAGAAAATAATTCAACTATTCATTCTCCTGAATGCTATAAACTTAACTTGTTTTAATACTGAGACTTGAAGTTTATTTCACTCTCCGACCTTTGAAGGAGTTTCAGTGACGATGGGATTACTCCTTCCACGTCTAACCCCCCTTTTCCGAGCTTAGGACCGGATACTAAACTAGGAGAGACTTTACTAAGCTCGGTGTCAAATGGTCAATACTACTGATGAGAAGTGTGATCACATAATTATAAGATACACTCCAATTTACCGATATCTGAGTATATTCAAACCACGTACAAAATTCCATTTTCATTATTCAAGCCTTAACATCTTTGATATTATCAGCTGAAAGATTTTTTATACCACTTCACTAGTCCATAAAGATTATACCTCTGCAAGAATTCATATATATATATATATATATATATATATATATATATATATATATATATATATATATATATATAGGGTTTGTGCCTGAGCAGTAATAACAAGGTAATACTGAGTGGTAAGTAGTAAATAAACTTACCTTACACCAATATTCAATAACTCTAGAATGTGTCGACCTTGAAACAAACCAATAGTAACTATGCTGGAGATGATAATTAACGAAATAGCCGATAAGTGTTTACCCAGTTTATCCATACTTTTTTGAAGTGGAGTACGTGGTGCCTAAAACAAGGTAAATAAATTAAGAGGGTGACCATTGTGTTTATCAATTTGTTGCAAGATAATGCTAGCGAAACACTTAATTTTATTATAGGTTTACCCCTAAACTTTTACTGATAACAAATAAATCAAACCTCTGTATTTTTTTCAGACATTCTATCATCTTGTAACCAAAAGTAGAATGATAAAGGTTTAGGCTGTTGAGAAGTAACTAGTCTGACGGTAAATACATGACGTTCACTACCCAATAGTATCGTTCTTGACCCAACCGACGCAAATCAGTTCTCCTTTTATCTCGTCATTCGACGGTCCCCTGCAGTGAAGACAATTGAAGCTCATCTGAACAGACGAAACAAATCGTGATATTCAGGTGTTGGCACACCCGAAAGGAGACTTTACTCAACTGGTTGAACTTTAACCTGATTATCATCACAAGTGTTCTTATTGACTTCAGAAAACGAAAATATAGTGCTGTTATCTGAAAACCTCAGAAACATACAGTCTTCTGATCAATATGAGTGAGAATGTTTGAGATGCATATCTTACCTACTGAGAACAAAATTAGCTTCATGATTAGTTTATGCCTAATATAAAACTGGATAAGTTGAAGTGACACGCTTTAACAGTTAGCAAACTGAATGGAATATCAACTCGATAAATTACAAAAGCATGCATGGAAAGTAACAGTCCTAATTTTCCTACGCTATGAAATACAATAGCAGCTTACATTATATGCAATCAGTGAGCAAAGCACTTATTGATTTACATTTTCCACAGATAAAAAAAAATAAGAACACCTTTATACGAGCATAATGCGTGCTTACTTCTTCCAAATGCATCATTCGGAAAACTTCACCGAATTCAGAATGTTCACCAGTTCCAATTACTAATCCTTTAGCGGTTCCGGAACAGACTAATGTCCCCATAAAACCAATATTTTTTAGATCATGACATCCTCGTAAACGATCAACAGCTTCACTATCTCCTAAACTAACTAAAATACAATTGAATAAATATGAATACACAAAAGACTTAAGGACGACACAATGTGATCGGTAAACACTTCTTGTTGATAGACATGTATGCATTCAGGCAAGCCGACGAGACCTTGACAACAGCAGAAATATATAATATATCCCTAGTAGATTTCAGACATCGAATTATTTTCATACTGTTCAGCGATATCATCACCACCCTTTTTTATTTCTTTTCATTTCACTTGCATTTCATTTATTTTAGCATCTTTCTGCTGTGAACAGGAAAAAGTTTAATCACTTGAACTGGACCACTTTTGTGTGAATGTTTAGACAACATATATAGACGACACGCCTTACACGTATATTTAAAGCACGATGAATTCAGATTAGTTACTAATCAAAAATGTAAGCAAGATGTCTGATACAGTTCAACAACAATATACGCGAACTTCATGCACTAGGATTTGAGTGACATATGGTGTGTTTTAGTTCACAGTGCTACTTACATAATGCAACAGTTGTAGATTACACCAAAAACCAATGCCTACTAGTTTCCGAACAAAAGTTTAGATTCCTTATCATTGTCGTTAGAATAAACAAGTTTTTATTTATGGCTTCGATATGTTATTCGATAACGTATTACGAAATATACTATAAACTAATATAAAAGCAATATAGAATACAAGGAAAATTGTAGAATACCCGTACAAGTCACAGACATTACTATTTTGGTTTGCAACTGGCCTAACACGCATTTTTGTAACTTTGATAATATGAACGCATAAGCTCCTTAAACCTATTTCACTTGTGGTATATGGTTGAACGGACCTCTGCATAAAACTTGTTCATATAACTTAGGTTAGGCAGATGATAACCTATTTGAAAACAAAATTACACCATCTTTCAAGTGTTAATTTGCACAGTTTTGATTGATTTCAAGTTCGATTACGGAGTGACTTTAGTTAGAACCATTGAAAACGAGCGAGTACTTGTCAGCTGTTTCATTTTTGTGATCAGACTTCAAAACCAGTCGAATTCCCGCAAACCAACACTTGAAAATTAATCTGGACGGAGCTGCTTGCAGTTTTAGTGAGAAGTCGTGACCGTTGGGGTTCACCAAGTTGGGAGTGAGGACGAAAATTCGCCTATGACATTAGCTGGCGGTCGCACTATATTTGACGAATTAGCAAAAGTTAAAACTGATGGATCACCGGGTTCCGTCTCAGTAGCCGAATGGTCTACGAAGTCGCCTAGTAACCCAAAGGTCCTGGGTTCGATCGCTGGTGGAGTTGTGGGTGCGTACTGAAACTGGGATGAAACAGCTGTCCAGTACTCTCTCGTTTCCAATATTTCTCTAACTGAAGTCAGTACGTGATCAAACTTGAAGTGGTCATTTTTGACGTCTGAAGTAAGAAAATTGAGGCTTCTCAAGCTTTACTTTCATTTGGGACCGATTCACACTGACTGCAGGCCAAAAAATGCTAATGCATATTGAGAAGATAAAGGACAAATTAGCTGACTCATCGGTATGAATCAGTTTTAGAAATAAACATGTCACTTAACGGTTGGATATAACTTTATGAGTCTTTTGTATGTACTGATTAGCTCGCTTACGCATATGACTCTTGGACAAATAATAACATCTGAATTTGTTTACATCCGTTATATGAAAACTGAAAATATAATCATAATACAGTGACCATACAAGTTTAGGAAAAGTATAAACAATAACTTAGAAATAGTTAAATTATAGAAAATTTTGCTTAATGCATAATTATTTACCATTTTGTGTTGAAGAAAATTTCATTAACTCAGATACAGTTGATGATGGAGAGTGTGAAGTAAGTATTTCGGAAGACTTGGCGACAGCTTCAGTTTCTCCGGTCAAACTTGATTCATCCATTCTTAGTTCAACAAGATCAAATAGTCGTAAATCTGCTGGTATACGATCTCCCACTGACAAGCAGACAATATCACCAGGAACAAGATATGAAGCTAGAAATGTGTGTACTTCACCATTACGCAGGCTAGACAGTTTATTTTCAAAGTAAAAGATAAAATAAAGAAATTCAGAGTATAGATTGTGATTGATCGAACAAAATAATACGGGTGGATGTCCAGTGTTTCAATGAAATGTTTCTTTTTCAAATGTTCTAAACCCCCTTTAGTGAAAATTTACACTTTCATTAAAGCAAATCACTTGAGATTTTTTAAACGATATATTGTATGCTTAAATGGACACAAATATATTAACACATTATCACAAAGCAATCACAGTATACTTTGGTTGCTGCATGAATTAAAAACGAAAGTTTCTGTTTTACCGGCTCATAGCTGTACAGACAAAACTGTGAGGGTCGACATCTAGTCAGCTGATCATTTCACTTGTACTACTGTGTGTTCTGTTCATCATATAGCCAAGTAGACGCATTTTTTGACTAGAAAAACCACTTACACACAGAAAATAAGGTGAGACTTAGTTAATAGTCATTTCACACAAGGGTCAATAGATTGACTAGTCGGTGACCAGAAAACAAGTGTCTCGATGCCAATTATGACCAAATTTCACCATAAGTCTTAACTGTTATAATTGTAAGTCTGTCATATTAGACCATTCTAGATAGCCTAAGAGATAATTTTTTTCATTCCAAGTGGAAAATAGGGCTTTGAGCTTTAAAGTTTCAGTAGCAGCCGTGTTATCATTATAGGGTCTGATCGCTAGCCTCACAACCAACATATCCTCTTCCCAGCGTTTACTACAGGCTGGCAAACTGGGCGAGATTTTAGGGGTGAGTCGGTTGGGAATCAACCCCTGGCCTACAGTGTGGTTAGCGACCATTCTGCTATTGAAACATAGGAGCGAAAAATCCAGAGTACTGAAGAGCTTTCTTGTCCTGGTTTGCAATCCTTCAGCACTAAGAACACATGGACCCACCGGGGATCGAGCCAAGAACTTTCACGTTACGAGGCTAGCCTGTTGAGCATTCAGTCACTGGGACTTAGTCGATAACACTGATAATAAAGTAGTACACTTGCTAACATTGAAACTGCATGGAAATATAGGTAGCAAACAGTAAGCTTTATGAGTTTAACGACAGAACTCAAGTTTTTATGATGTAGGTAGAATAGGAAGTGAATTCATTCTCACTACAAAAACAAAGTGAATAGAGCAAAATATTGTGATCGATTTCAGACCGTCTCAACAGGCTCTGCTTTTAACAGCAGGAAATACCCATTAAATTATCAAGGAAACAAAGATAATTCAGTGGAAAAACTCTCCTTATCGACGAATTCATCTTCAAGTACTGTAGTATAACATTTACATTTACTAAAACATATAAGAGCCTATCAGTGAACAAGAGGGGCGAGTGAAACTATTGATAGCGACGATATTGGCAAAGTGCTTCATGACAGCCTGGAAAATGACATGCTGCAACCGACCATTGAGAGTTTTCATCTGTATGAAAGGTGTATGGATGATACATAGAAGTTATGATGAAGTTTAATAACTCTCATCTTTCAAGCAGGCTCACATAAGTATTTAACATCAACTCAGAATCTCATTTATTGGATGTTTTATTGAAGAGATCTGATAATTGTCTTCTCATATCAATCTACAGGAAGCCAAAATGGAATGATGAGTACATGGATTTACACAGTCGAGTCCATTTGGGCGAAAAGATAAATATAATCAACCCCTTATCCTTAAGAATTAGAAACATCGGCACTGATAACAAAAAACGTATGTTGACCTAGTAAAACTTTGACAAATGTTTATCGAAAATGGATATCATGAAAGTGAAGCGATAGTTCAAAGGAATAAACACAGCTCCGAAAAAATTGATGTTCACGTATAGCTTTACGTGTACTTCAAAAGATACAGTGGTGTTCTGGCCTGTAGGATACTGTCTTACTTTATACGCCTTATGTAGTGCTAGCTTGGTTGCAGAAGGTATGATTAACAAAAATTTGGTAGAGCAGATTCTCTTCTCCTTTATACAATATAGGTGACATTCAATGATGACAAAAAGTGATCGTGATATTCTTTAGGGAGCCTCTGCTTTCACTGAACATCATAATCTAATGAGGTTCACTTAAAACACTGGCCTGAATATTCAGAGCACGTGTCATTTTCCCTCCTTACATTATTTGTTTTCGTTAAGATTAACCAGGAGATTAGAAATGTAGTTAGTTCAGCATGAGGTACCATTAGGTGATAAATAGTTGTATTACGTTTGCATCGGGACTGTTTGGATAAAGTACAAGAAAACATGTGGTCCAGTGGCTACAAAATCGTATACGACTCAGAATCAAAATAATTTGTGATTATATGTTGCAGTCTTTTATACCATTCTTTGAGAAATTAATTGTTTCCTACGCTGCGACAACTATATATCTTAAACTAACTATGATAGTGATTATTAACAATAATAAAGATCGAGTCTGTTCTTCTTTAATTGTCATTGTCAGATGAAGATACAATCTGCGTAACACTATGAGGTGAGCCTATTGAGAAAGACACAGTTGTCATAGAATTAAAGAGGTTTCAAGGGTTGTTGCAAGTGCATTGACCGCGCACCTTTATCGGAAGATTGAGCATTCTTTAGTCATATCGTTTTCTCATCTCTGTTGGCATTTGTGCTTTCCAGTTTTTTTCAAGACGGATGGTAATAATATCTTCATTTCTTTGGCCCTTAATTCACTCTGATATGCAGATAACATTATGCAATGCACTTAGAAACCTGAATTAGGTGAGCCAGTGAGCTATTTTATTCTACTGATATGAAACATAACAATTCAAAATGATATCAAGAAATATACTGTTTATATCTTCCGGATTGATAAGATGACTAATCATTTCTTAGTCAATTAATCTTCGTGCCTTATAGTCTAATTTTAGCACCATTAGGTTGTCTTCAGTAGTTGTATCACAAACAATGTTTTGAAGTGCATTCAACTTTAGTGTGTTTTACATGAAGTGAACAAAATAAAGAGCAATGTAGAACAGTTCAACTGTCTCTTGAAAAGCACATATATATTTCCTCTGTAAGTTGAAGCAAGTTCAAAGAGCCGAATAGACAGAATACCTGACCTTACATTCCAGGTACTTACAATATTTTAGTCCTCAAAAGACTACCAAGTTTAAACAGTTAGAGCGATGAAAAGTGAAGCTAATATTGCATAACTATGAATAGCAAATGTCAAAAACAACGCTTTTTTCCACACAAGTGTATATTATCCGCATAAATATTCAATTTATTCATTATAGTTTTATTCCTTTACTTTCCGAGTGGAATATAGGATTTCAAGCTTGGGCTTTGAATTTTCGGAAATAATTTTTATTTTATTTTGATTACAGCTTGATGCCACACTGTATTTTCGGTACAAGTTTGGAATTTTCAGCATGTGATTTCGGTAGCCCGAATTTTTCAGGCCGACCATAGATATCGAGTGTGCGTCGGCAGGGGATCGGAGCCTGGACCATGTGCATAGTCGGCGAGAGTCCTAACCACTGTGCCACGGAATAAGTTTGCTAGGTTCACGCCCAACCTCCCGTCTTTACCGGGTTTATTACGGGTTAAGCGACGTTTAGGAGTGCGTCAGTCGGGAGTAAAGGTCGGATCACGTTCGAGGTTGGCGACTATTCTATCACTGGACCACCAATACCCATAAATATTGAATGTGTAATGATTAATTACAGTAATGTCTTTCGATGAAATATGTAATGCTGAGCCAAGTAGGCGGGTATCAACTTACACATGACTAAGTGTAGTACACAGACCTATGAGGTAAGTACAACTAAAACCTGAACTTTATGTTACGATTGTTGTGATAAGTCAACTTACCAACTATGGGATAATGACTTTACGTGATTCTAAAAACTTGTGAACACAGATTAGTGATGAGAAGTGTATAAATTACAGTTACTATTTTTATAAGTTGTGATGCATATTGATGAAGCTCATACATCAACAACGAGTCGGGTCAGGCATTGGTAATCTGCGTCTGAGATGTATGCCATAGACTAGGAACTCATATTAAAAGTTAGAGACCCAGTAAAAGAATTTTTGACTGTGTGAGTATCTTAAATTTTGAGTTAATCTATTAGATTATCCACACAAAACATTTCGCCATGCAATCTCTCTGTATCATGCGATTACAATACTATTTTTATTCAATAATGAGTGCGGAAATCTATTTTTAGAAACGGTTTTTGAGGTAGTGCTAACTCTCTAACTATTTAGACAAACAAAGTACAATTTTACTGGTCTAAATCTAAACTGCTGTCTATTTACTTACATCCATTGTTGATGAGTAATGCATATGTAATAGAGGTATTGACGAACAATAAATGTGCATGTTGAGTCTTTCTACTTATTAGTCAGTAACAGAAATGGACAACTTTGATTGACAGTAAAAGTTAGCCAGTGATTAATAGTAATAATAATCGTAAGTAATAGTCACACAAACTTATTGGACTTCACTCTTCGGCAAAAATCAATATCAAAATGAAGTGAAATTAACAATTGTAAGTTGTCAGGACGAATAAAAAAAACCAGAAAAAGGAAGATGAAATTTATTATTGACTTATTTGATATACTAAACCGTACTACTGCTGAAGAAAATAATGCTGGAGACAGTGGATAGTTATTGCTAATAAAACTGAAATCGTTAGTGATCAAGTAGTGAGTGAGACATTATTTTCATTTCAATATGACAACACTTTAATTAGATTTGCCTGCTTTTCTTTCGCCTCTTGCACTCTATAACATTTAACTATGCTATTTTTACTTCTTTTGCTGCAATGTATCGATATGGGCTGTGGGGATTTATCCCACTAATGAGTAATGATATTCCCGTCTTTTTAGTGTTTATCTGTCTGTCAAATAACTAGATTTAGCTGCACTTTACTAGGGGTTTAGTTATCGAACATACTCTATGTGCCGCGAAAATAGTTATTATAGTATACTGTTTTCCATTTGTTAGTTGGACGAATACAACTGATCAGTCAAAGTGATATCGTGACATTATCAGGAATAACGAGATTACTATGTGAGCTGCTCTTATACCAACAATTCACTAACAAATATGTCTCAAGGACATCAATGACAGGAAATAATTGTAATATCAAAATAATACCCACCAAAAAGCAGTCGGTATTACTCAAACGAAGTGAAACACTAATTTTATGTAGAAAAATAGTATTAAAGTTTATTTCATCGACCGATGATTTATGTCACTAAAATACCAAATACAAACACTAATTTCTTCAGATATATAGTATTAACAACCGAAAATTAGGAGCAACAAGAAAACATACCAACTACATTTTGGTGGCATCAATTTTTGCAAAGCTTCCAAAACTTTCTCCGATCTGTAGCCTTGTATAAACGCAACAGTAACTACTATTAAAACAGCCTGAAAGTAAAGAAGAATTTATAAGCCGACCTAGAGGACACAGGAGGAAAAGAACTTACAACAGTTATGCTAATTGTATCATCATACTGTTTCAAGATGAAACTAATGCAAGCGGACGCTAGCAGTAACAAAATCATAGGTTCTTTGAATTGTTCAAGATACTTTTTGTATAATGGATCCGGATCGGGATGTTTTAATTCATTTGAACCGTACAACTGAAGTCGTAGCTGGGCCTCAGTGTGATCAAGACCATTTTGTAAGTCAACCTAATAATAGTAATTATGAGTGAAAGAAAAAAATGAAAATATCCTATTTACTTTAAAATACTGCGCTAATTCTTCAATGGATTTCACTGCTGCATCTCTGGCATTCATATGAATTCGATGATGTGAAATCATAATTGATTTAGATTCCTGTAGAAAACAGGTGTTATTATATAGAATGTAACATACTAAATACCTTCTGTGGGTATAAACAACTGTTGGTAGATATGAATTTTAAAACCGCATATCACGATATTTGTGTTTGATGTACGACTTCAGAAGACGATTTCATAGCTAAAAAGAGAAAAACCAGGTGGATATCATTTACTTAAAATTGAAACAGAATCTTGAAGTACATTACGTATAATACTCAGACAAACATACGAACATGGAAATCTGCACAGAAGAATATATCTAGGCCTCTGTGACGGATATATACCTGTACGACCCAGACGGGTGTGGATGTTAGCTTTAGCTCTATCAGACTGTTATTTTTAGGCTGTTAGATCCCTGAGAAAAATAATTTCATTTTTGCCGGTTAATGTACTCTTAGTGTCTAAAACTACGGTGATTTTTGTGATGATTGGACTAAATTAATTGAGGTCTGAACATATAAATGGCTGTAAGGACCACATAACTCTCTTTGCTAGATTGCGGAATGTTGATAAACTTTTCGGTTTTTAGGCAACATACATATTCTTTCAAGTAACGGAAGAACATGACTTTTTACAATTTAAAGAAGGCAAAAACGTAGGTGGCAATGGACAAACTTTTACGTACCAACTCCAATATTGTTGAAATTCTGGTTATCATTCATAGCACTAGACTGATATTCATTTTGCATAGAACTAGAGTTAGCATAGAAATTCAATAGGAAATGACTTTTGCAGTTGTTGTTCCTTAATTACCACCACTTACATGCACTAAACAATGAGCCAAACCTTTTTTAAGAGAACAGATAATCGTATACCGTTGCAAAAATCTAGGTAGTTTGGATGGAGTTTAAACTTGTGACTGACTGGATAAAAAAATGTGTACACCAATCCTTGACATTTGAGTGTAAGGCAGTGAGTACTGTAGCATCACCTTGCATACCATAAGCCAGAGGCGGATGTCAAACACTGATTTTTGCTCTGTGATCACTGTAGAAGAACCGGATATAGATACCAACCATCCAGGTCTGACAAAAGTGATTTATCAAATTTTCAAACAATACCACTGCAGAGGTATTCAAGAATCCCTGCAACGTACTAAACTGACTAACTAACTGAGTCTGGTGTATATGAATATAGCGCTTCTCAGACATTACTGTACAATCTTCGGTATCCAATCTTATACGGCGACAAATTTTACAGCAACAGTCTCGGCATCAGAAGCTTCAAAACTACAACATCTAGGATTTCAGGGTGCATAATGAAGCCTCGGGAAAACAAATTCGAAAGAATCGTGCCAATTTTAAGACGGAATGAAAGTATATTGGACAAGTCTTTACTTCTTGACACCTAAAAGGATAGTTAGACTCATTTGACCAACACTGTCATATCTTTTAAACCAAAACTAGTATTAAAATCTGTCAACAACAGGATACTGTGGTAGTAAGGGGAGTAAAAATATATTCACTACTCTAGTCTCTTGTAAACCTAACACATACCGAATATATGCAAAATTACATTAGGTTGCAAAGAGGAGATAAAAATATACATTAGACAAATTTTGAAACCATGTGAATAAATTGATATGAATATGAGCGATAAACTGTGCACAAAACTTCATCCAGCTATTATTCCTGTATCACTGTGTGGTATATCAAATAAACTTATCTCATATGCAATCATGCTACCACGGTGCCCAAATCCTACTCGCACATTAATAGACAATATAAAAGTAGGCAGGTATGTTTTTTCTTGATAAAAATGCATAGCGACTTTTAGCACAATGCATACGCTCATTAACACAAAGTGGACTTTCTGTCATATGATTCGTTGGCATGACTACTTTACTAAGCATAATTCTGTAATATAGTTTACATATTAAGCATATGAAGCCATCGACATATACGTTTACTACTGTGATGCAATGAAAAATTAGTGCAAAAAGTACTATCAATAAATGTAAAAATCTACACGATTTCAATATATTCTATACCCAAAAAGTAGAAGAAGAATCTGGCACGTTGCGTTGTATTATTGAGGACTGGTCACTGTCCATCAATATGGTAGAAACCGAAATCACGCGAAGAACTTATATGTGCACCGATGTATCATTGTCTCGTAGGATCGTAACAACCACTTTTCTACAAACAACACAACCCGCCTAGATGTTTATGAATCTTTCATGTGGGAAAGTCGTCCTAGACTCCTCAGAATGAATACAAGGAAAACGAAATTATTCTCAATTGAAAGTGTGAAGTAGAGATAGTATGTGGGTATTCCGAAGTTTTATCTGGTCGACGACTAGACATTTTACAACGCTTAACCATATATATATTTATATTCATTTCATACCACACTCAGAATATGTTGTATATTTTCACAGACACATGTGTCCTCATTCCTCCTACATTATAATAGCGATTTAGTTTCCAGACTATAATACCAATATAATTCAAGTGGTTATAAATTACTCGACCGTACACCAAGAGAATGCAGTAACAGTAGCCTTGAAAGGTCAACTGCAACGCATTCGACCTTCAAGTAGCGGAAAACTTTGTATTGAGTGCCAATCTGATTTCATTGCCTGGTATCCTATTTCATGTTTTGCTTGTATTACCTCCAATTGTCATTCCATTATGAACAAAATTGTAAGATGTTTGAATAAAATGGTGTTTTCTGGTATAATCGTCAATTTTCTGTTCAAAGCTATCCATGAGGTCCCTGTGTCGATTATCAATGCTGAACAGTTTCATGTGACATGTGAATAAACGTTGCCGTGCATATATTTTTCCCCTGGCGAATAATATTTTATCTTTTTCTGCATAGGACTCTGTATCAACCTAACGGTGACTTTTTTGTTTGTTATCTTGTTAGCGGTGTTCTGATCCAAGTGTCTATATGAAAATGAATATAGTTTCCGAAGCCTCTCGCCGGGTGATTCGCTGCGTGCGACCAACCCCAATCTTTTTGCACATTTTATAAAAGTTTGCTGTTTCTTACAAGTAGCTAGGCAGCGATTACATAATTATGCTCTTCAACGCGGGGTCACATTGGTTTTGAGAAGCCCGATACAGAACTGCGGGTGGGGTGCACCCAGTTACTAAGTTTGTGCTTTATAACAAAATATTTACTAGCTGTGCCAACCTAGCAACTCACAACTTCATCTGACTTTTCCCTTACAATGGCACTGCTCAGAATTTATTAGTAGCTTTTTGTGTGCATGGTAGCAAAGCAATGAATTTTGTGACGTCATAAGATATTCTCCACTAAAATTCTAAGGTCCGTCGGTAGGCTCTCTGAGCATTCTAAGATCCTCATCAGTCCTCAGCACTTTACAATATCAGTGTCAGAATGAACCAGGTAAATCGAATAGCATGAAAATATTTGGTAAATTATTCATCCTGGAAGAGAACTCTGTGAGACTCTAAAAACAGTCGGAGACTAATGTAATTTAGCTGTCTGTCTAAGGCCAAGCTAAACGTGTCGGCCATCATCATACTTATGGTATAAGTTCAGTTTATAACTCCTAAAGTGGTTGTTTAGCGGTTGCCAAGCTTACTTTTCTATGTGAATCGCTATAAATTCTTAAGTATCGGGAAAAGTTTTTCTCCCAGGATTTGTCTACAATGAACTCCTGCCACTCTAAGTGCCTCACTGAAGTCAGCGAAGTTCTTCAGTCTCCCGATATTACACATTCCCACGAACAGTTTTACTTCTATGTTGTCGCAATTTCCTTCTGGCTCTTTAACCTGCCTCATATAACCTGGTTGACAGGCTGCACTTAAAACCCGCCCAACTAGTGAAGGGAGAATATAACAGGACATTCAGTGATGCAGTTGGTAATGGCAGTATGCGGAACGCATAGGGGTACGCATTCACATCATAATGTGGTTGCTGCACCACTGTACCTTGAAACTCAATTGCCTTCTATTTGTTTCAGCGCGCATACACAAACAAACTGATCGTTGATGGTGAAGCGACTGACGTTACATTGACTTAATGAACTTCCTTTGTCCCTTGTATACTGTCAATTCTCTGGTATTGCCTTGACTGCAATTCTCACCACTTCACTTGGCCGTAAAATTACTATCGGAAGGACATTACTGAGAGATGCCAGTGGGACCGGCATGCCATCATCGTTATATGATAGACTTTGGGCTTCTGTTCATAAGGTTTTTATTGTCATTGGTCCCAGCCTCTCAGTGAAATTAGGCGGTTCCAAGTCTTTAGGGAATATGTCAGCTAATAGTTAAAGGAATTAGTGATTTGCATAAGTTCAGTGTATCTAACGGGACTGGAAGTTGTCTTTTCACCAGACAACCTATCAGACGGAATGAAAATAGAATGAAAAATTAAAAGATGAAAAAATAGAAGCAAAGGACAGCAGACGAGTGGATGGAGCAGTTACAATGTGGAGCAGAAGAGCCACTCAAATAGGACAGGGTTTGAAAGAAAATGTGAAATTTTTAAGTTTAAATAAACAAAATACAGTGCGAAAATCTCTAAACCTAGTGGGGTGCTGTCGATTACTAACATTACATCTTATGTACCTAGTCTTATGTAAATTCGGCACTACAATCTAGCCCATCACCTCTGGCTGTGTAATAATTCGCTTGAATTCACTCTTCTGATAACTGACAGCCATCTCTTTTTACTAAATTAGTTGTGTTTAAATACCTGATAAGATCATCGGTTCGATCAGTTAATGCACTTTAAATTTTAGGCTTTCCCAGTCTTCGATGTTTTCTCATGTTTTATTCCATTCTGAATAACTCGATTTTTCGGTTTTTTCTCGAGTGAGCCGGGATAATTTTATTATTATTGTCTCCTTTAGTTTATGGAGGTACATGGTGCTTCAACCTCACGCCTCCCGTGCATTCGGTTATCCTCCTGACTGCACATCAATCAACATGCTTTCACCTTCTATTCGCATGACCTTCAGACGATCAGCTCACTGTTTTCCATTTAAGTTCCACTCGAGAGTTTGACGTGTGATATCACTTGATGGTTTTCTTAGGGAGTGGCCGATCCACCCCCATTTGAATAAAGCAAGAACAACAGCTTTGGCAGAATAAAATGGAACCATCATTTATTTCGTTGGCTTCTCATGATCTGCTTACTGCCCAAACATATTATTAGGTATATCTATCAGGTGCAACCCTAATGTTAGTGTATGGTGTTGAAGAGCCTATTTTCTTACCAGGAATTTTCTGAAATCGGGTAAGAAAATAGGCTCTTCAACACCATACACTAACATTAGGGTTGCACCTGATTTAACACCATGCCAAAGGCGATGCCGCTCAGGAACAGTGAACCCTGATAACTCTAATAGGACAACTGTAGATGATGTTCCGTGCGTTATTCCGTCTATTGAAATATCTGATCACGGCATGCAACAGACATTTTCGCAGGTAGTGGCTAATGTTAGCCAAGCATTATATAACGATATTGATGTAGACACTGAAATGGTGGACATAGATGAGTCAACGGGAAATAATGTTGAAATACATCGTTTTCACACTGACGCAAAAGTCAAGACACCGAAATCATCAAAACCCATCCCACTGGTGGTCCAACCATTGCCTTATAAGTCAGTTACTCCTCAGTCTGACAATCCACACTCTGTAAAGCACCAGTCGAATGTAGCCACCCAAGTTGGCGAGTTTTCTAGGCGTTATGACAAACGTCCCATTTCCATTAAGAAAACTAAAGCTCATGAGGTGTTCAAGCCACAGAAACCCTACATAGCATGTGCTGACTGCCCTGTTAGCCATCATCAGCCAGATAATCATAAGATAGGGGAAAAAGAAGTAAATAAATTAAATACTAAACCCGGAGCAAGAAAGCTCTTTGATAAGAAAGAGACGAAAGCACCTGTAGGCCTTCTTTGTAAGAGAAAGTCAAATATGGTAGACGAAGCTCCTAGGGGTAGGCCTAATTGGTGCCAAGTGGAAAGCCAATTTTATCGAATCCCTAATTCTAGACAAAAAGCACAGCAAAGTAGTAGGTATATATATATATTTCTTCCTGTTTATGCAGGAACATACCAATTGTACAGGCAGGATAAGTTATTATATAAATTACACACAATTTAATGTATAATGAATTTACAGTTTGGTTGTTCTTTCTGACATTAGAGTCAGTAGGAACAGTCTGCTATAAAGTCTGTTTGTGTAGCACATAAAGAGATATAGAAATATTGTCTTCGCATTAACAAGGTATTGTTCTGCACATCCACTACGTAAACCCCTTGTCAACCAGCCCACTTCTAATATTCTGTCTACTGAAAGTTATAGAAAATACCCCAAACATCGGCCACAGACCACATTTAGCAAGCCAACAGAACCCATTCATATATCTTATGTGTCTAGTGGGGAGCATGTGCCGATTTCTGCACAAAACTTGCCATGGTCTGATGAATACCAGAAACAGATACCAACACTTCATTCTTATACTGGCAACAAATTACCGAATACACATATCGGTTATACCTTAGGGCAGGATTTTCACCAGCGTCAGTTAACAGAAACACCTGGAATCATGCATATAGCACGCATGATATCGGATCAATTCCTTGCTGGCATAGCGAACAGTCTACAGCTAGGGCAAGGCATATTTCCCGGGAGATAGCTGACACAGTGTCGACACCAAACGCGGATACTAATATCTCTAAAATATTAATATCTGATTATCACACAGGTGTCTCTCACTGCATACCATATCCAAACGTAAGCCCATCCCTGACTACCACCTCAAAAATCTACCTGAAGTCTTCCTACGATCCAAAGATATTGGTAAATGAGTCTGATAACATGTATATAGAGGATACTCACGGATTATTTTACCAAGATGTTGTCCGCTCACTGAAACCACATAGCCAGTGTTTATCTATTATCCTAGTAAATACGAGATCAGTTCTAAGCAAACATTTAGCACTAAGTACAATAGCTTCTATATGCAGACCGTCATTGATTATGATCACCGAAGCCTGGTGCACAAGTGAAATCTCCAATGACAGCCTAAGGATTGATAAATACAACCTTTTTCGCGGGGACAGACGGACAGGTCGTGGGGGTGGAACACTAATTTACTGTGAACAATCCATGTGTGCAACCCAGTTTAGTAACCCAATTCTGTCACAACTCAATGACTCGATCTGGGTCGAAATAAAAGTTGTCAGAAGTAAACCTATACTTGTGGGTTGTGTGTACCGGCCCCCTTCATCCAGCAGGGAATATGATAATATGCTTAGCAATATCTTTAATGTTACAGCCAATCTTCCTTTCAGTTATAAAATTATCGGAGGCGATTTCAACTTGCCAGAAGTATCATGGTCTTCACTCCGAGGACCCCAAAGGTACGATAATCTCATAAATTCCATCGTCACAGGAGGGTGGACACAACACATAAATTCACCCACTAGATCCGCAAATATCCTAGACCTTATTTTCACGAACAACATAACGCCATCTACCGTACATGTTGGACATGAATTTCCAGGTAGTGACCATAGAATAGTAGTTTGTTCTTTTGACATCTTTCCTGAAACAAAACGCAGAG